AGCGGAGCGATCGCGCGTGAGCCGGGATCCTTATGAAGCCGAGCGGCTGGTGCCAAACAAAAGCGAGCTGCAGCACGGCAAGCACTCTCGTCTGTCACCCATCATCGACGTTTCTCATCACAGCCGACAGTTTTCCATGCATTCAACACGAGTGCGGTGCTAAAGAGCGCCGCGTCCGTAGACCTTGTGGGATTCTCTGTGACTGCAAGTCAAATACTAAAAAAAAAACTAAAAAAAATCTTCTTTTCACATTTAGTAAAGCCCTGCTTTGATGGAGTTTATCCTTCTGATAATTCAATGCAACCCCAGATTTGGTACGATACTGTGTCACCAATTTGTTTCCAAATCAGGTTTGACGGTGTAAAAGCTGGATCTCATCAAGTTCACCTGATCTGACTCTCTCGGCTTTCTTTGCTCTCTTTCTCTCCCGTGTGGGCAGGTAACACGGCCGCAGACTTCTGACTAGATGCGAGAAACTTTTGCTGAACTTTTAATCAGTTTCACAGAGCTCTGATCCTAAGCCAACTTCCTTTTGCTCTCGGAAACCACAAGAGACAGAGAGGAGCCAGGCCACGCTGCACCTAATCAGCACAATCGATCACTTCCATTGATGATGTTGGATAAATGATAATCAGCAAAGGATTTCTCAGGGAATTTGAGGCCGGCCATTTTATTCCTTATCATTCCATCATAGATCCGTCCATTTAAGGCCAAGACAATATGTAAACATGTCGTCTTTGTGTTCAGCCAGTGAGAAGATGGTCCTGAAATCTTAAACTGATCTTTAATTATTTTTTTAAAACCAAAAACAGAGCGTTGAAATGGGAAATTCGTCTGAGAATATGTAGGTAAGTTCATGAATTGTTACATGTACTCTATAGATGATCTGTTGAACGTCTTCAGACAAAGCGAAACAGTTGAATTGTTGAATCTCAACCAGCCGGCAACCTACGGTTCTGAAAAGTGAAGCCAATGTGGAAGTGTCTTAAACTTGCATTCCCTCTAATGGCCATCAGGGGGCGACTCCTCTGGTTGCAGAAAGAAGTCTGGTTGTATAGAAGTCTATGAGAAAATGACCCTACTTCTCTCTTGATTTATTACCTCTGTAAACATGAGTTTATGGTCTCAATATAGTTTCAAGTCTTCTTCAATACAGCATGATGTTCATTTAGTAGATTATGGTCCATTTTAGAGTAAAATAGACATTAAAGCAGGGTATGCGTTAGGGCGGGGCTACCTTGTGATTGACAGGTCGCTGCCCGAGGCAAGCCGTCGCTAAAGTCCTGGATGAAGGTGAAAACTTTAGGAGCTCATGGGACTGCTTTTTGGCTTATAGTGTCGCTGGGGATGATCTGGTTGTACTTTTGTTAAAGTTAAATGTTTATTTTGGTCGTTCTAAATATGTGCATTTACTGTATTTCAGGATATCTTATGACTTAAGGTAATGCTGTCTGTTTGTGTGTATTCAATTAAATAAAAACTTTAATTATAAAAAAGAGATAGATAGACTGGTTGCCAGTATCTTTAGTGAGAAGTTAGGGGCTCTGATGGGGTGTACGGTATGGCTTTGTATGTCTGTTTAGTAGATTTACATATTAGATATGTTTACATATACACCATTAAAGATTTGGGACCTTTTGCTTTTCGTCAAAGGAATATAAAAGGGGTTCGTAGAGAGGCACTCTACTTTTTTTTTACTTTCCATACCGGAACTCTGGTGTTATATCGGTCATGTTCTGAACAATACCCAGCCTTACTTGTTTCCAATATATAAGTCTCTCTGTTACTAAAAATAGATTTGTATGCTTCATTTATATCGTGTATATTTATATGGACTCGTGTGTTGCCTCTAGCAGCTGGCTCTCTTGCTCTTCCACTTTCTTACAGATTTACGAGAGGACGGACATGAAAAGAAGAAAAGACAATCTACCATCTACGCCACTTGCTCGTGTTCATTTTGAGCCCATTAGCTTCTGGCTGCAGCCCAATCCTTTTAATCATCCGCTATTCCCCAGAGCCCTCTGGACAACTCTGGTATACGTCTAAATTATGGCAAGAAAAGCTGCCGTGGGGTAGGTTTGACTTGAAGTGTTTGTAAAAGATGTCGAGTACGGGAAGCGGTGTGGGGTGGGGGGTCACAAACACGTATGGACTTTCATTTGAAGAAAACAAGAGTTCAGTTCAAACCCACCAGCACTTTGGGAGAGCACTGCATCTCCGCTGGTGTGTCATCTGATGCTGATTATCAGGCAACAGACTGGAACCTGGCACTTACTCGGATGTTATTTCAATCCCTGACTGACAAACGCAGACACACACACACACACACACACACACACACACACACAGAGAAAAGTACTAGCCGCAGATCTGTTCCCATGGTAACACGGGCCAATAGATCTCAGCTATTGACTGAGGATGAAGATCTCTGTAGACCTATAGCAAAAGAAAAAAACACCACCTACACACACACACACACACATACTGTATGTGCCGGCGGACTGTGACGCTCACACACACACATCCATAACACACACACACCGGCTAGGCGTCAGCCTCCAAAACATCCTTTTTTGTGTGTTATAAATGGAGATGGAGAAACAATATAAATGTTTTCACTCTACAAAGACCTGAAACAGCTGAATGCTTGAGTAACCAGGTAACGGAGAGGAAGTCAAACCTCCCCGAGCCGTGCCATGGAAGGGCTCGCTCTTAAGTGGCACAGCAGCATGATATGAAAGAAGATGTGTGTGTGTGCATGTGCGTGTGTGCGTGTGCGTGTGCGTGTGTGTTTGAGTGGGCAGTACGCTCAGGGGGAGGGTGGGCAGATGAACTGTCTTTTTTTCCCAAATAATTTGGCAGTCATCTCCGTGTTCTGCATCGCTGCTTTGATTCGAGCGTTTAATACATTTCTTTCGAATCACACCCTGTGTAGCGGCGCCATTTGTGTCAGATCGAAAAGCCGGTGTTTCGTCGTTTACCGATCTCAGAGTGAATAAGAAAGATTGCCCGTGGCGGTCTTCTTCTTCCGACTAGTTAGCCGGTCAATCACTTTGACAGTTATCAAATATTAAAACCGCAGAAAGCAAACAGAGCAGCCAGCAAACCGCTGAGCAGTTTAATAGGACATGTGATGTTTGATTGTGTTGTCAAATCACTCAATGTTAGGGAAATGAGAGGGATGGTTTTGAAGGCTTGTTATTCTAAAAAAGTATTTGTGGACGCCGTGTTCAGACAGGACACTTTGTCGTGTGGTGCCAAATTATGTCCATTAAAGCAAATGATTTCTGTGGGTAAAAGAGCAATCTCAGTGCTGCTATGGGATTTTCAAGTGTCCCACATGAATAGATACATTGAAGCAGTGAGGAGAAGAAACCTGAGACCTGAGAGCCGCTTTTCACTTCATTGCCACCGCATATTGCATAACACTTATGAAATATGATATTTCGCAATCTTGACATGAAGCATATTCACTAAAATGTGATGTTGCCCTCTGGTGAAATAAAAGGAGAACGTTTGTTTATCTTCTTTTTATTATTATTAGTTGTCTGACAGCTGAGGTACGTACGGACTATATGTTTGTGTTGTTTTGGTTTTATTGGATCATTACTTGTTATTGGGGAAATAAAGCAAATAGATCATCTAAAACAACCTCCACAGCGCCATGCATGTCTCACACTGAAAACCTTTCCACAGCTGTCTGGGGAAATGTCCCAGAGTAAAAAAATACAAATAAAACTCAGTCATTATTCCTGGAAAGAGACATTTGACATTTTTGGTTTTTTAAATGTCATCTTCAGGGCAGCCAGCGCCTGCATTGAAATTCCATTCACATCCAGCGCCAGTTGGCATCAAGTCTGAGAGGCCAATATCTCCAAACTTCTGCAATTACATAATCCAAAATTTAAACTATCTACATTGATGAAAAAAGGTATATAGTGAATTGATCTCTGCAGTTACATCAATGGATTCCAAATAAATGTATTTAAATCTCGATTTTGTGGATGTCTGCTTCTTCTGTTGTACATTTATTACAGCTGAATTCATACTTGACTCTCCTTGATTTTAATTTGTTTACCAAAACGTGTCAAAACATATCTAAATGGAGGCACACTTGACTTCGTATACAGTCATGGCCTCCTCCAAAGTTTAACCAGCTCAAAATTGAAATGACAAACAGTGATACCTCAGCGTTTATCGAGGTTGAGGTTTATGCAGACATAAAGCTCAGTCAAGCACCTTCCAGTGCTTTGAAAAAAAACATTATAAGCTCCTTTAATAAAACCTGAATCAAATAAAAAAAAGGCTAAATCATGTTTTTAAAAAGGGAACAAAAATATAACTTGTTTTTTGTTGTCTGTATTCTATTTAAATTATAAAATTGTTTACTAAATTATAAAAATGCCATGTCCTCTTTAAGAGCTGCAGTCAAAGCAATGTGCCTGAGATATGGAACCGTCTCTGCTGCTGCTATTTTTATGTTTTCCTCGGGTGGCTGTGAAGACACGCGGAGGTCGTAAATTATTTATCTGTGCCCGACTATGAAACGTCCCATATGGATCTCGTTCGAGGTTGACGACCTCGGGGCTCAATGCCTCCATGAATGAATGAAAAGTGCCCTCCTTTAATGCAAAGAAACGGCCGCGGTGAGGAGCGCGCTGTGGCGGCGCGGTCCGCCGTGCGCTCCGGGAACGTGACATCGGTTGGGGCCCGTGTTGCTACAAAACCGATTAATTAAACACAACACCGGACGTAGATTAAGTGCAGTCAGAACATAAATCCCAGCATCCACCGAGCGCATCAAAATGACAGCCACATCTTACACAACACAGCTGCTTAGCCAGCTCCATTAACCACCGATCTTCTCATAAACTGGCTAATAAAGAACCGCATTATTAATATGATACATCAAACCAGATTGAGATTGGAACAGGAGTCGTGTCACGTAGCGTTTATGTGTTTTGTTTGTATGGTTATAAGGAATAAAGGAGCACTCTTACAGGTTGGATAATAAAGACACAGCATCGGTGTCTTACCGTCAGCGGCCAAAGAGCTCTGCAGCATCAGCATCAGCACCGCGCCGACGGTCACCAAGCGCCGGGCCAGCATCCCGTCCGGGGCTCGCGTCCTCTTCCCGTTCCTCGGCGAACAGACGGCCGTCGTACCCGCACCCAGGGTCCATGCCGCCGTAGAGGAAGAGCGGGGGTCCCCCGTGTTATTTACCCCTCCAACCCTGGGGCCGCTGCCGGAGAGGAGCGCATGTTTTGGAGCCATCGGTCAACCAATTAATCCCGAGCGAGAACGTCTAACGGCGCTGCTGCGGCGAGAGGCATCCGAACAACCTGCCCCCAGTGCGGACAAGCGGGGCTCCGCTCTCCATGAGCCCGCTGGAGGCCTGCGGGGTTCGACACGCAAACAAATAGAATTTTATTTTATTTTTTTATTGTTCCTCCCGCGTCTCACTGTTTCTGTTTCTGTGCGTGGAGTCCGATGTCCCTACTGCGACCGCAGAGCGCTCCTCATCTCCGCTGCCTGCTGCGTCAATACACGGAAACGATACCGGAAAACAGTTTATGCTGCCTTCAAAATAAAAGCGTTGAATTCGCCTGGAAGTGGATTTGGCACGGAAAACGGTTGTAGGCCTACAATGCAAGGCAGTAATTATCATATATATTACATTTCAATACGCTAAAAACATCCCACTGATGTAGTGATAAAAATCTAAATAGATAAAATGACTCCGGCAGAAGCTGTTGCTCGACTGCTGTGGGTGGGTAGAAACTTATTTTCATTCCACCATGATACCATGAAGTCAGAGGTTATGCCTAAACGTATTAAACTCAACAGAATTTTTGATGTGTTGTTAAAGACCCATGGTTCCTGCTCAGATGTTTCATGTAGGGCTTATTGGTAGTGAGTATCATGATCTCATCAGTTTATTTGCCTCCACATCCTGCAAATATGTTAATCCCAATTAGTAAATTAAGATTATCATTGTAAAATGCAATGGCATTAGCTATTGTCTAAACCAGGTGTTTAGTGGGACGCTGCACCCTGAGGTGAAATGGTACAATATTACATATTATGTTACATTTAGTCCAAGTAGTCATTAGCATCCATTTCACAGCTAACGCACGACTCTTTCTATGTTTTCTCTTAATACAGAGTTTTGTTCCGTGAAGGGCTTTAATTATTCAGTGGCAAGACAACATGTTAAATATTTTTTTTAATGGGTAAACTACCTTACTTCCGGTTTTGTTTCGGCTAGCTGCGGCTAGCTTGACGAAAGCTTCTAGCAGGTAGATACAGCTCGCGCTGCGTGTTTTGGTGTAATTACTGTGAAGATGACAGGGAGCAGACGGGTCACAACGGTCCGACTAATCCCCCACCGCAAAAAAAAATAAAATAAAAAAGAACTTGTGTCTTTTTCTTCTATTTAATGAGTCGTAGCTTGAAGCCAGCTGCATCAGTAAAGGACCAAAATATCGGGGGCAGTGACGCCGGCGCTGCTCTGCTGTTTTTGGCAGATCTGAGACCAGCAGGAGGCAGGCGGCCCCTGGTGGGGGCTGAGGGCAGAGTCCCCACTGCCTGCACGCACAGTCACAGGAGTCCACACAGGGAACTATACCCGTTACCATAGGGAGTCCAATTTACGGTAAAAAGTAAATAAACAAATGAATAAGAAATAATGGTGAAATCATTATTTTGCCGCTGACACAAATAGTCAGTCAGGGCGCCATTTTTTCGAAACAATTGCAGAGATTTCTGGAGTACCTGTGCTCCACTGTCTTGCCTTTGACCGATGTTCAACCCAATCTTTATTAGGTGGGGCAACACTCGCTGGTTTACTCAAGCTCATTGCTCTGAGCGCACAGTAACACAGAACGATGTTAGCCATGTAAATATACTGTTTCACTGTATTTTACAGTTACCTCTTCAAAGTTATGTCCTCGAGTACACTTAAGACATCGACAGGTCACCTTTATCGCAGTCACACACTGAAAAGACTGAATGCGGTGGTCTCCTTTAGATAGCTACAGGGAGAGAATCCTTATGATCTACGCCAAGAGATTATGTATTTGGACGCCTGCACCTCTGCGTCTGTCTGTCTGTTTGCGGCTAATCTTGCGTAATACTGGACCCATCAGACACATGATTTATGTGCCCATTCATGACTGTATGCTCAAGGGTCTCTCTTGGTTGCAGTGATACAAACTTTTTGAAAACATGTTTTGACTGTTTTATAACGTCATTGATGGTTGACCCCTCGTCACTCTTAACTGGCTGGTAGTGGACTGCTTCAGTTTGGACTCTTGTTTGTTCCGCTATGGATTTCAAATTGTTCCTCTCATGATTTGCACAGCTAGGTTCGACAATTGCATGTAGCCAATGTATGCATGCAAGTATATCGCCTTGCAAATGACAAGCTGAACTGAGCGCCGACTATAACGGAGTATGACGTCACGATGACTACGTCCACATATACGTGGATACGGTCTATGGTGTGAGTGCTACGTGGGTTTGGCTAACAGCTAACGGAACTAAACACACAGCAGGACTGACCGTTTCTGTTCAGAGGAAGCATTAAATGGTCAACATAAGACGTTAAGACAGTGAACTGCAGTTTAGCTGCACGGAGACGGTCTACTGAGGACACTGTCGTAGTTGATCAAATGTTTCAATATTACCAACATACTTGTTGCATAAGCGTTTGCTCTTCCACACCGCCGCGTGGAAGTGAATGCTTGTTGGCTCCCAATCAAACAGTAATACCCGTACAGGACACGTATTCCAATAAAGACAACACTGACTGAAGCAAAAGATTTTTTTTTTTTTTTCTTTAATTCAAAGTGAATCTTGACATGGTACACCATCAATTCATAATTTGACACTCACCAATAAGAGTCACCAAGAAGGAACCCGCTTTTTGTGACAAGGTACATAAGGCTTAGTCACATTGAAACTCACTGAGAACTAGAGGGGAAAGAAAACTACCGCTAACTGGGAAGACACACATTATCACATCCAAACAATAATCATTTTCCCAGTCCTCATATTGTTGTATATTGCACAGTGCAGTTTGCTACATGTCAAACTAGTGTAGCATTTAAGAATGAAAAATAAAAACAATCAAATTAAAATCATAAAGCCACACAGATCTACGCATACTTAGAACAGTAACAGTTTTCAATTTAGCAACCGTGTCTACATATTTGTGACTAAATACAATAATTGTCAACCTGATAATTAGATCGTTGTGGTACAACAATCTACCTAGAGCGTCTCTTAGGAGTCAAAATTTCGCACAAGTTATTCCTCAGCCCAGCACTCAAATCAGATGTCCAGACCCACGCGTGTTGAGTCGGTAGTTTTGTCACATGAGGGCCCAGTAGAAGCAAGCCTTTTTTTAATCAATCTGAAATATTTCCTTGTTTATTGCCATATCCAAATAAAAGAAAATCCCTATATGTTTTAGAAGTCCTAAGGCCTGCTTTGTAACTTAAGGCTGCTGGTTGAGATTTAGATCCGGGACTGTGTGACCCTCTGGTGGGGTCGTCGGGGTTAATCCGAGGTTTTTAAATCGCTGTAGGTCGATAAGCAATCGACCTAAAGCAAAGGGGGATTACGGCGTGGGACATCTCATCGCTGAGCTGAAAGAAGAGCCATCAGGGAATCAACAACAGGCTGCAAACAACATGGTTACAATTTTAAAATGAAAATAAAACAAAAATAAACATTTTCCTTGAAGTACAAATTACTAGTTATAATTCTAGGCGGTTCTGCAAGCTGAACAGTGCGTCCTCTCGTCCAAGCGTCGTCAAAACGGTAGCATATTAGACGAGTACACAAGATACACCCATTGCTTAAGCTACATATCAAAACCATTATAATGTAATACGTTAAGTAGAGTAGCGCCATGACACAAAAAAAATAGCTCGAGAAGCTTTTCTCTTTTTTTTTTTTTTACAAGATCCTTTTTCGCGTTATAATTACATCATAGTTATCTTTCATTATCCCGAAATGTTTTTGCTATTTCATAAAACCAACGATTGTTGGGTCAAAGTTGTTTGAGGATCTTGTTAAAGAACCCCCGAACTAAAACACACGATGTCTACCTATGGTATAATAGCTGCTTACAAGAAACCGTCAACGTCCCAATCCCAGGAGCAGAGAGAGAACAGCTGTGTAGCCAGCACAAATGCAACAAGTAACGCATTTGCGAACAAAAACAAAAAAAAAAACAGATGTCTCGAGTTCCACAAAAATGTTCACGGTGTGAGAATAAAGCTTTGCATTTGCGTATATTCAGGCCCGGTGTTTTGTTTTTTTTCAGTACTGCACAGAGGTCGTGGTGAGCGCAAGATAACATTCCCTGACTTGTACTTTCTTAGGATTCTGTAAAAAAAACCCAAAAAAAAAACAGATGGTTCCAGACCTATTCTCAAGTCTAACAAACAAACAACTTTGGGTTTTTCTTTTGTGACGTGAAAAATAGGAGCCGATCCCCTCTGGAGGAACTACTTTACGGCACGTGGGCGTCATCTGCCGGCCACTTGTTTGGAGAAAGGCACTAGTTGTACAGTACGAAGAGTTGCAAATACAGTCCAACCAACTGGACATAAAAGCTGTGTCATCGGGAGAAAGTGAGAACACACACACACACACACACACCGGTTACAGAATCCATCGGTGAACCCAAAGCCTACGTTTGAAATACTGATGCTAAGCACACACACACACACATACACACACACACACACACACACACACACAGAGAATTAAAAAAAAGAAAACTCAGAACTTCCATTACAGCAGTTTACACTTCAAAAACAGCACAGCCAATATACAGAGGCACTAGCATATAGGAATAGCATTCAATATACTATATAAGAAAAAAAAAAAACAAAAAAAAAACGCACACTTCTATTGTATCTGGAACTACAATACAAAAGAGAGGAAACGCAGGCTAGAATGAGATTACTCCTCGAAATTCACAGCTACGAAGTGGCAGATAATCAGTACATAGCAGCTTATTATCTATACATTCCAAATACAATTTGCCAAAAAAAACAGCTCAGAAAAACAAAACCTTTCAAATTTTTTTGTTTTTTGTTAAATAGAGACAGCACAATATATTCCAATGTCGATAACAGCAACAGTACGCTGGAGGTCAAAGGAGAAATAGTCTCGACCACACTTCAGAAATGATTAACGAACAGTCTTTGGTGCTGATTTGAGGAAAACAAAAATACCAGCTGATGTGACGGGTAAAGACGCAGCTCTACTACACACTGGAAATCATAAACACGCACACACACACAAAAAACAAGGCTATGCATCCACCCTGAAGGAATGTATCAAAACTGACTTCAATACATGGACAAAAAGGTTCGTTTCCACAGATATTTGAAACAATTAGCAATAACACCTCTAACGCTCAATAGCCCGGCAAAGATACTGTAAGTTGATAGGTTATCTCAAACACTGAGAAGCATTTAAAAGTACACACACACACACACCACAATCGCGTTTACGTCTTACGCCGCTCCCAAAAAACTAAAATGCATCGACGCAAGTCTAGCCTAAATGCCAAGAAATATTTAAAAATACACGGCAACCCAGAGGCCATCTAGATTGTATTGCAGTTACAGTAAACAGTGACAATACTGTTATGAATTTAAGTACTATAGTGAATAGAAATCGATTATCAAAATATCAAATCACTCTTTATGTACATAAAAAGCTCATTCAGTCAAAGCCCTAAATGTGCAGCCTCTAGCTAAAATAAATCCATACTCTGAGTTAGGAAGCAAACTCAAGCCGTTTTCCCATATTAACACATGACCGCAAGCGTTATATATCCAATGAGCCCGTCACGTTCAGAGTCTGAGGGTTAAGTGCTGCAAGCCCATTTTTTATTCATTTTTTAAATGTACAAACTATAAGCTCCTGAAGTAACGTCAGAGACGTTTTTTAAGGCACTAGGGCGACAGCAGCAGCGAGGTCTGCCTCAAACAAAGACGGAGCGTTCCATCCTGGTTAATACGCACTGGGATGGCTTAACACACAGATCAGACCGGCTAGCACAAATGCTACAAGGCAACAAAGATAAAGGGGTGGGGGGGCTGAGTGCCCAGACAGCAACAGCGGCAATGAACAATTTCCCCGCCCTCTAATTAGATCATATTCTCTGAGCGCTACTCAAGCGACAAGAGAGACACATTCTCAATTACAACGTCCTCTTCATCGTACTTCGTGAAGTCATCCGCTCTCTTGTGCAGCGTCGCCGTTTTCAAATACATCGCCGTATTCTCCGTACATGATTTTTGCCGGAAGTCTTTCAGTTGCTCTGGCAATCTGAATCAATGTGTCCTCGAAAACACCACAAAACATTAACTTGTTTTTTTCTTTCTCGATCCACTTTGATACATCTCTCGTTATGACAGCGTCTTCCTCTTCCTCGTCAAAAGTGTCCGTATTGTGCTCTGCTGCCCGCTCTACCTGCCCAGGTCGCAGCCCCGGTCCACTTGCCGTTGCCCTTCCTCACCAGAAGGTACTGCTACGGCCCCGTCCTGCTCCTCAGATATAGGAGAACTGCGGGTGGTGGCTGAGCTTGGTCGGGCTCAGGGGGAAGCCGGTGAAGGCGGCCGGGGAGGCCATGTAAGGGTGAGGGGGCGGGAAAGGAGGCTTGAACTGGTGGGGGTAGTGGCCGTAGCCGGGCTGGCGGTGCGGGTGGACGGTCGGGGAGGGGAGGAGCCGGTGCGGAGCCGGGTGCCCCGGGTGGTGGGCGCTGATGCCCAGGGTCACCTGGTGCACTATGGCGCCACCCTGGGGGTGGGAGAGACCGTAGCTGTGCTGGAGGAGAGTGGGGGGAGGCGGGCGGGAGGGCAGGATGGGGTGGAGGTGGTGTGCGGCGGCAGCGAGCGGGCCGCCGGGGGGGTACTGCAGCAGAGCGTGCGTGGGCAGGCCCTGGGGGTGCGTGTGCGGGGCGGCCGAGGTGTGCGTGGGGCTGCTGTGCGGCAGGTGGGTGAAGGTATGCGTGTGGACCGTGGGGGGGATGTAGGCGTGCGGCCGCAGAGGCCCATAGTTGCCGTTCCACTCTTTGTGGTTCGAACCGTACAGCTGCACCTGAGAGAGAGCGAGCGAGAGAGCGAGAGAGCAGAGGGAGCAGAGAGAGCAGAGAGAGCAGAGAGAGCAGAGGGAGCAGAGGGAGCTCAGGGACAATCTGATAAACAACAGGGTTCTATGCAGAAACGCGGATTTGAGAAGTTTGATACCACTCTCATATGCCGGCAACCGGCTGCAAACAAAGGGGAAACAGCTCGCCTGGCTCCGTCAAACCGTAACAAAAAAAGACCCACAAGCACCTGTTAGGCGTGCTAGTTTACAATTTGATGGAGTTTATGTGCTGGACTATGACACTTCCTGGAGTTTTCCTGTAAAAACAGATGTTGTCGTTACACTGTGGAGTTACACTTTAAGCATATGTCAGTGAGCTTTAGAGGTGCAGGCAGTCGGATTTTGTAACCTCCGGACACAGCCACTCACCCCTGCTCCCCGTTTTAGTGCCAACTTAAGCTAAACCGACTACTGGATCTAGCTTCACATCTAGTAGAGTGGTATCAGTCTACTCATTTAACTCTCGGAAGGAAAGCGGATAAGAAGGCATCCCAAAGTGTTAAACTATTCCTTTACAGTTCCTTCTGTATGCTGCAATAAAAGAACACCCAACTGTACTGCTGCTCTGACCAAAAATAAATAAATAAATAAATAAATAAATAAACTCTGCTGCAAAGCTCACACAATTCTATTAATATTCACCAAGAGGTTTTGAAGTGTTCAGCTCCTGCTTAGTGCATTATAAAGAGAAAATAACTGACCTGTCCAAAGCCCAGAGGGTGCTGCTGCTGGCCGGTAACTTGCTGCTGCCGGGACAGGAGGGGGTTGGATGGGAGGAGGGGGAAGGAGGAGGGAGTACTCTGTTGTCCTACGAGGCTGCAGCGCCCTTTGGACCTGGACCAGGACTCTGAGACTGGGACAGAGAAAGAGAAGACAGAAGTGAGTCAAGCAGGTAGGACAAACAAAAATAAAATAGATGGCAGGTTCAGTCCAATGGCCTGCAAGACTGCAAAGACAGTGAAGAGCAAAAACGGCACAGACTTCAAACAACAAACAAGTGTGCATGCAAGAGAGAGAATATAATCAGATACTGTTGTTCCATATAGAGGGTATGAAAACCAAAATGTAAACGGGACAAGCACAGAAGGGGGGGGGGGGGGGGGGGAGAAGATGAAAGACAACCAATGTAGCGCCACCGATCTACAGCTAAATGGAACATTCGTGAGGGGGCTGCGCAACGCACGGTGGAAAGATTATCGCAAGCAAAAATTGCATTGGAAGCAAAAGTGGGAAAATCTGCAGGGACAACAATATCCGAAGACCAGCATGCATCGAGCGTAAAGTTACACAGCGGTCAGGATGTGAAGCAGCCTGTTCATTTTAAGTGCAGTCAAAGGATGACTGGAAAGGGTTTAATAATAATTCTCAAGACCTAAACATCACTGGTGGAGACTTCAAAGAAAGTCTCTTAAGGATTTAGCAATATTTAAACTTTACGGGTAAAAATCTGCGAGTTTATACAAGATTGTGGTCGCATTTGAGTTATGCATTGGAGGTTGATGCAATAATAGATAAACCCAACAAACGCAACTGCACAGGTTTCACCCATTCTAGAGACTGGCTCCGGATTAACATGCCGGCCAAAGAGGAGTATGATTCCTTAGTGCAGAAGCACCAGAAGAGGTTTGATATTATAGCGACGCAGCGACGCTAACGAACACGAGAAAGAATGAGCCGCTTCAGAAGGAACGTCTGAGTAAGTGGTGTAGAGGAATGACAATACAGCCTTTAATGGCCACACAATGACTGTAATCTTTGCTGCTATTAAATAATCATCAAAGGTGTCTTTTGCTTTTTAACCAGTTGGGAATCTTACCGTTAAACAGCATCAGAAAACTAGACAATAAAATCCATAAAGTTGGGGGAAAAGGAAAAGACACAGGGATTGTTGGCACTCAGACAAATGGCACCCGAGGAGCAAAGTTGCTCCTCGGACTGATCCGTATCAGCTCTAAACTCAAAAACAAAAAAGGTGAAGCTGATCTCAGATCAGTGCCTTAGGGCAACTTTTTGCTGCATGGCAAGAACCAGCAGAGAAAGCGTAGGCTCGGACTCAACACCACATCGTATGCATCCACCTTTCCCTCCGAAACAGACTCAGAAAACATGTTTGCTGTGCTCTGGTTGAAGTGCCCCCCCACCCCCCCCCTTCTTCTACTGTATAAAATTTCTGCATCACTGATGCAGGCATACCTGCAGATACAGGTACTTAAACTGCAGTTTGAATGGTTGGTGAGAGTCACTAAAGGGAGTGACAGAAAAGAAACCTAAAGGATTTCACTGCTCATCCGTTAAAGTAACTGCTCGACTATCCGGTTCACTGAAGCTTACACTAGATGTTGGCAACTTCCAAATGATGCAGACATATTCTAAAAAGACACCGTTTATAACCTGTGCATGCGTATATGGTGAGGAGCGAACACACCAGCTCTTTAAACATTTGCCGTTTATTGCTAGGAAACTTTCCTTGAATAAAAGTACTAGTTTGAAGGAAGGCAAGCCATTGGGGAAAAAAAAAAAAAGGCCTCTCGGGCAATGTTAGCATTGCCTGCTGTGGATGCATCTTTGAGGTGTTGGTGCTACGTGGCCAGTTCTCTGTTGGTTTCTCGTGATCACCTGTTAAAGCCTCTATGAGCCAATAGGGGGCGGTAAGCCCCTACTGCTTCCATGTGACCTGCCAAAGTGGCAAGATGAGGACACATTTAACAGGGAAAAACTTTTTGGGGTGTTAGTAATAATATTTTCACGAGAGCATCAATTTCCCTTAGCTTGTAATGAAACAAACAATAAACACACTACAAAGAATCATGTATAATCACATTTCCACTGACCTGTCCTCTGAAAGCGCTCCTCCGCCCCGTGACTGTTGTGCTGCACTCTCATCGGTGGAACCACCATCGTCCTGACACCGCGGGGGCTCCGGCCCTGCACCGCAGGGGGAGGCAGCGGCGCCACCATGGCAGCCAAGGGCGGCCGGTTGTTGCGGTTGCCGTTGTTGAGGTAACGGTAGGGGCTGTTGCCACGCGGGGAGGTTGACGTGTCGGACGCCGGGGAGCCTTCCACGGTGTTGCGGCCGCTCTCGTGGCCGTCGTCCTCCGACATGCTGAACACAAGAGGAATAACATGAAGATGACTGGAGCTTAGGAGTGCATTTTCTCCTCAGTTAAACACGTCCACAGACGACTACCTGTTGGGTCTCTTGCACGGTGAGAGGGAGGGGCTGGACTGAAGTGAGTTGGAGGCGAAGGAGCTGGTGCTGGTGCTGAGGCTGCTGTCGGGGCTGCTGAGGGAACACACTCTCTCCATGGACACGCTGGTGTTTCCGCACGCCTCGCACACACACTCCTCTTTACACCTACGGAGACCAAAAGTCACAGCAGCATTTTTGAGGCCCACGATAGTAGAATAAACTCAGACATTTTAGATTCATTATTATATTCCAATGACATAATCTGCCGGTTACAGAGGCTCATTCGGTTATTGACAACGTACAGGTGGCCTAAACTTTTTACTACCACTCAATTCAAACCCATGTCGAGCCGTTTGATTTCGACGTAACTCACCCGGTCAGGCGGCACCTCTGGGGGTCTTCGTCCTCTTCATCGGTCAGTTGGATGCTGATCACACTGGGAGCGGGGCTCGGCGTGTCCACCATCAGGACCGCCACCTCTCGCTGTTGCCGACTGGACAGGTCCAGCTGGCTGTTGGCATTTGGCGCCGCCCCTTTTAAGCAGCTCACTTCCTCCTCTGCGTGGTTTTCCTTGTCGTCTGGGTGTCGAACTGCCGGATGCCCGGTCCCCACCGGGGGCACCTCCCTCCGAGGCTGCTCTCTGCGCACCACCGCCTGTCCAACAACGTTGGCCATATTGGCTGATATATGGATGTTGCTGGGGTGGGACAGGTTCCTTTCAACGGAGGACTTGATATATTACATATCAATAGAAAAACGGCAAAGCAGTTTAACTTCACTTAAGGAGCAGAACCTCACCTGTTCAGACCGTGTCTGTTCCTTTTATTGGCTGGCTGGGGCCACACAACATGAGCTATGCCGATGTTGATTGACTGATGGGCAGAGAGGGCTGGCATTTGATTGGTCAGGAGGGGCTGTTGCATGACTGAGGTGTAGTGGCTGCGGGGGGGACAATTTCCTGTTAATACATCTCAAAAGAAAACACTAAAAACAGGTGCAAGAGAAACTTAATGCAGCAAATATGTGATTAGATGCTATTCTCTGATGAAAGCAAAAATATTCATAACAAGAATTCTAAATAATGATCACAACCACAACTTTATATGTAAGAAGTTGTTGTCATGCACATTTGCAAATGGGAAAGACCCTGTTAGAATCCTGGTTAAGGATAAACAGGAACATAATTTATGTCTAGCTGTGTTCGAGATCTTTGGTTTACATTCAAGAAATCATGTTACGACAAAAAGCCGAAAGGTTACTTTGGTGCATGCATACGCACTGAACGCAACACAAAGAACTACTACGAGTGAAAGTCTTAAAACGGGGAATTTCCCAGACTCAAAACGGAGGTTCGGGTGACTCACCCCCAGTCGCTGATCCTCTGGCCGGCTGCGGCGTCGTTGGTGAGGGAGGACGGGGGTGGTGGAGGGGGGTGAGAGGGAGGAGGACCCACGGTAGTCATCTGCTGCCAGGCTGCTGGGATGAGGAGCTGCTGCCCCCGGCTGGACCAGGCCTGCTACAGGGAATAGATACATCTGTGACCTGTATCAACTCCCCCATCACTAGGCCTGATGTTGGGGGGGGGGGGGTCAGGGGTTGCCTAGGATACAGAGGCTAGACATGCATTTACAATCCATGCTTGGGTCCTCATCTCACCTGAGCAATGACACCAGGTCTCACTGGTAAGGGCTGTATGGGAGCCTGAGTTACCATGGGAACAGAATACCCTGCTGGCTGGTTAAGGTTACCTTAAAAAAAAAAAATAAATAAAAAAAGCAAACAAACAAACCGTCTGATATTCATGCAGCTCGAGAAGACTGCGGCTCAATTTGAGTAAAATCCTTCTTGTGATGTTAAAAAATTATAAATGTGCCATCTGAAAAATAAAATGAATTTAAAAAATGTGTTTGCAGTCTGCATACCTTGCATGGCGGGAGGACAAAGAAGGAGGGCCGGTGGGAAGGAGTCAGTGCACCCAAACTGACCATTCCCAGCTGTCAGAGCTATCCCAGGATGCAACACTGAGGGGCCCGGATGGTTGATAGCCTGCGTTACAAAAGAGTAGAGAAGACAGTAGAGTGAAAGAAACGGAGACAGAGAAGAGAGCAGAGCGGAGAAAGGGGGAAATGTGAAAAGACATGGAAAGAAGATTAGCGGGAACTCATTTCATAGTGTCACATGTGACGGAAACACTATTCCGAGTTGATATGTCATAGCACCTTCACCCCTGAAGAGGGCAACATTAGGTCATCAGTACCAAAACATTGCACAGAAACATTACCAAAGATTGGACACATTTATGTTCCATGTCCCGAGAAAATGGCTATAAGACAGAAATGGAATCATTTTTGAAGCAAAATGGCATTTAAAAGAACCGACTGTTGTGTCTGTAAATCAAGATCTTTGTCACGCTGATATAAATAATTACTAGTGGTTAACCTGAACGTATCCTGGTAGCACACACACGGCTTCAGTGTCTCACCTGAGTGTGGACCGGCATGTTGCTGTAGCCTAGAGGGAGGCCAGAGGGGGCAGCAGGGGCTACAGGGGGCCTTGAGAAGTGAATGGTGTTCTCATTCAGAGCGTCATAAACCGCGTTGGCGGGCCGACTGTGGCACATGTCCATGATGCGGAACGCTGACTGCACACTGGAGAGAAAAGGAGGAGATCGTAGTGGGGTGAGGGGGAATTATTATTATTATTTTTTATTTTTTTTAACGACTGGAGTTCAAACAAACTCCGGCACATTTTTGCGTCAGCGTCAGCCTTACTGGTTGCTGTGTGGGTAGTCCAGCAGGTGGGTCATTGTGAGGAAGGGGTGATTGAGGACGCTGGTGGGAACGGTCCTGTCCTCGGCGTCGATCAGCAGCATGCTCTTCAGCAGGGACACAAACTCCCTCCTGTCGGCCTTCTCCGCGTGCATGTCGCTGCCATCGGGGCTCAGCACCACGTTCACCTGGTGGATGGAAGCAAGAGATGAGAACCATGCAGGGCAACAGGTCACGTCACCGTCAATTCAGAGACGGCTCTTGAACTGGCAGAAGTGCAACTAGGTTTGACGTGTTTTGAACGTGTTCTGGAGCGCGAGTTTTACCCGGAACGTTTTGGCAGCGCACCGGTTGCTGTCAGCTGTAGCGAGCTAGTTTGTTTAGCCCGTTTAGCCGTGTTAATCTAGCTCAAAGGACCACAAACTGTGTCAAACTATATGCAGACAGCTAAACTGAAGTCGGGTTTATCTGTGAAGGAACTTCAAACATTTACTTCAGGACGGCATCACCAGAATGTGTCGATTAGCGGAACGAAACTGAAACGGACGGAGAGTCCTTCACTCCACAGAGTTCAGGCAGCCTCCAACTGCAGATTGAGACCGAGCAAAAGTAACTAATGCTACAGAGTATCGCTGCGTGTAGGTGACCACCCGTGATGGTACACAATACAGAATTAAAGCATGTGGTTAAAGTGTTTGAGCCCCGCTACAATGTGAGTTCATATGTGCATCTTAGTCAGTCAGCAGTGCATGCCCTGTTTAAACGAGCATAGGCTAACCAGGACAGGTCTTATGATGGAGCATTACAGAATCAGAAATACTTTACATTACAGACATTTCTCTTCCGTCTTATTTGTGTTAATTATTGCCAATATGCCAGTCTTTGACTACCTTAACTGTTAAAGTCAGATTTATGGCCAAGGAGCAACTTTTGAATGTTAATCATTTTCAAAATAAATAAAAAAAACAAACATATTTTCTGTTTTCCATATAGTGGAACCGTTAGACCCCTAGATCACGTCTGTCATCTCCTGCCCCTCTTTACGCTGGACTTGTTCAGCATGGTTTGAATTTGATCAAAGTCCCTTTGACTCACGTGTGCGATGTCATCCACACAGCTGAAGATGTACTTTCTGGCCTCTTTGGATTTCAGTCCCGTCTCTTTCTCGTGCTCTTCTGTTGTCTGGAGGAAAAACAAAAATAATAGGATGAAACAACACGCAGGTCTAGAATTTATCCATTTATCACATCTGTGTGTGTTGAAAGCTGCCACTGGAATAGTCATGTTTACATGAAAAGGAATAAAAGGTCAAAGGATTACATCAAATGTACACAGGGAAACAATGTGTTTCCGTGTAATTCTGAGTGTTATGCGGTTGGGTTTTGTCTTGGAAGCACAAGGATGGATAAACGATGGGTTCGCATTCATTGAAAACTGATTTAGAATGTGCTCAGCAGCTAGTTTGAAACACAGTTTTCCTGGAGCTTTCCTCAGGGCATGTTGTATTTGTCTCGCTTTGCAAAGCTCATGCATCCGTTTTTACTTTTGCTTGCATTTCAAATCTCACCGTCACCAGTCAATCTGTGTGCGTCTTGTGTCCCCACCGCCACAGGAATCAGTCGATGTGTGTTTTGCGTATATTAACATGCGCATGTACATATTTACTTTTAGTCTCCAGGAGGCGTAGGGAGAGTTGGACTCTTTGGAGAAGAAGCGAGAGGTCTTGGTCCCCTTGTTGAGCAGCTGCTCCGCCGGAAAGCCCTGAGTCTGGGAGATGTACCGGATCTGAGCAAAGAGAACAGAAACACACAGGAAGAGGCAGAGAAAAAAGGAGGGTGGAAAATGATAAGTGAGAGAGTGGAAAAGACAGCATCTCCATCGTGTATTCTTTATACTCTCCATCATGAGTTTTGTCTACTAGCTGGTCTTTGAGTTGCTTGTTATCCAATACGCCATCCCTGCACTTTAACCTTCACTGCACTGCCAAACTGACATAGATGGAGACGGGTCCAAGGCTGATGCAGCAAACAAGTGACACACGCCAAAACAAAGTCAGAGATTATTGACATTTGTGAGCAAAATCTAGCACAGTTATATTTAAAAGAAATCACGCACTGTGGATTCAGTTTATCAAACCCTGCATTACTATGCAGTCCTTACTGAATGGAGCCAATGACACGGCACTTGAGGCGAAATTCATGCTTAACCTACACACGTACACTCAAAGCATTGTCTTCAATTTCCTTATTTGGGACTTAAGTGACAGATTAAAATTCCTCTGTCCCCTGATGTGAATCTTGTGACCGGAGCCTGCGTCAAACCAGAGGAAACATTCGGGGAAAATGCAAGAATGTAGTTGAACTCTCAACGGCATTCATTAGAAAAGGATTTTGTGTTGTTTTTTTGTCTTGTGCTTGTTGATCATGCTTTTTGTTATCTACAGATAGTCTTGGATTTTTAACACTGCACATTATTACTAATGCATTTTCTTCAATACACCATAAGTATATTTTTCACTCCCCCTGCCTAATTAAGGGTGAGTTCAACTTGCTCACTTACCCCCCCTCCCCCCTCCTGATTTGTTAATCTGTTTCTTTGTTTTTCAGTTTGAGAAATATTTACTATTCTTAAAAAAGAAAAAATATGTAGACTCCAGCAACGTTTGGTTTGCAAGTTGTAACATTTACATATGGTTCATTGCACAGGAGTTATGGACAGCAGATATGTGCTGATGTTTCACAAGAACTCAGCACCCTGTCTTGATTACCCCCCTCGAAATCCAGGCAAAGAGAAACTAGCCTTTCAGCTAATTCAAATGTACATTTACATTTGTTTGACTGTTGATTAAAGTAAATTGTCCCTTTTCTAACAATAAAAAAAAGAAGATACTCTAGTATTACAGCCTGTATGCTGTAATACTAGAGCACAGCCTGTAGTGCACGTGCACACGGCCCAGAACAAACAGTGACTGGCCGGAACCTGCTGATGGTGCACTGAACACTGACCACAGTGTGCGTGTGCATGCGTTACTTGTGCGTGCGCATGTCTACCATCAGGCTTATGCTTATAAATACATTTTGCTGTGTAGAGTGGAACTGCAGTGAGCCTTGGCATAGCACAGCATACTTTTGGGGGGCTCAATACACGCGAGTGTGTGTGTTCTGGCAGGGCCCAGTGGTTCAGCAGAGCCGTCGGTGCTCAGCGAAGCTCCATAAACCACTATCCAAACTGCTAGCTGCTGCTGCTGCTGCTGCTGCTGCTGGAGGCACAACTGACACCAAAACAAACCTCAGAAAACAGACCAAACAAGCCGTCAGTTTATTAAAGAATATTAATGAGCAAGAGCGTTTGGTGCTGGCATGTACTCTTGAAGTACAGTCAATTAAAATTTAGTTTGGTTTGGCAAAGAAGCTCAAATACATTAGCTTTGGAGAACTCTGTAGAGGTCCATAAAACGTCATTCAAAGACACGACCAGGGTGTGTGTAAACTCTTCGCTTAATGCTCGTCTTCACAGAGCTGCATGTACTCAAAACACGGGGTAATCCTGTCCTGGCCTTTTCCCATGCTCCCTCTGCTCTGTCGGTTTAAAGTCCCAGTTGTGTTGCTTAGACCTTGCGACCTTGTGGGAAGATCGACGCACATTGCCAAGAACAATTTCCTGATTCGCTCGGCTCAGATTAGCATTAGGTGGATTTCATGCTGGATTTGTTGGACTTCACTCATACAGAGAGAGAGCGAGCGAGAGAGCGAGAGAGAGAGATCACGGAGCAACAACAAATACAGGTTTAACTACATAATGAACTTACTGTTGCCTTTTGGCTAGTGGCAAAGCAGAGACAGACGAATTATGCACATTAAACATGTAGTCTGTAAACTCTGAAAAATAATATTTTGTTCTCCTTACTCGTTCTTCCTCGGCAGTAGTGTGAGGGATATATCTTGATCTCTACTTGCCTCCTTGGTGTGTGTGTGTGTGTGTGTGTGGGATAGTTCTTGCGTGTGAAGAATGTTACCTGGTCGTACTCCAGCGCTCCAGGGTAGAGGGGCCAGCCCAAGAAGAGCTCGGCTATCACACAGCCCAGTGACCACATGTCTATGGCCTCGCAAAATGGAAGGCCCAAAATAATCTCTGGAGCCCTGCAGGGAGGAAAGAAGCACAATAGGTTATTTTGGGGAGTTGGTGTAGTGTTGGGTACCGCTTATATTTGAACTGATACTGGTACCTGACATAAAATCCAAACTACTCAATTTCAATTGTGTCATTTATTCAGAATATTTCATTATTTATTCAGATTATTTTGTAAATTATTAGAACAATTTACACACCATACACCCAATTGATTTAACATGAAGCTGTACTTGGTAGTACCGACATAATTTGGTCGGTACCCTAAAAGTACCAAGTTCAGTCACCAAACCTATTGGTCACCACGTACAATCAAAAAATAGTCACTGTCGCAGCCCGAGGACATGTCTATGCATTCACTAGAGCAGCAGGGCCATTTCTGTTGGTGGGGCTCGGGAAAGAGAGTGAACAGTCAGCTCTATAAATCTGGATCTACAATAATTACCATGATTCCACAAAGTGTTTCCTGCATAGAGAACTTAAAGAGGCCATGAAACATGGATGTTTTGGCATTGGTAGTGGCCACATATATTAGGAGAAACCACCATGCCAGAATGATATGAGAGATAATCAGTGCTGGCCATGATAACAAAGCACAGTCTCAACAAAAACTAAACATTTTAATGTACATTTTAAGCACCATGCTGACAAAAAGAGCTGTTTTAGGTGGCATTCATGTAACAGACTAAACGATCTGTAGTGCTGACCTGAAACACTATTCATTAAACCCCATCCTTAGAGTTAAAAGAGTGTCACGATCATACATGATGCTTTCTACAGTCGGAGAAGGCAGATGGAGCCACATGCATTCAGTTTGGAACGGCACACTTTTGCCTTATTTTTTGAAAACTCTGAATAGATGCCACAAATTAAATTTCCACTAATCGCATCATCTTCCGGTAGGTTTTACATTTTGACCACATTCCACCTCTTAAATTATATTTAATCTAAAAGGAAACAAAGTTCAGTTAATCTTCAAATCAGCACAAAGCAAAGCACACGACGGTCTGTGTGAGAAATTACAGTTTTCACCAACAACAGGTTATTCGGGGTGTGACAAATTGTTCATTACACCCATAATAAGCCGCGCTGCAACAAAGAGCTGAATCCCTCCCAACAAGTGAACTTTACAACTCACGCAATTCAAATGGGACGAGTACTCTTGCAGCAGTGCTGTGAGGTGGCGTGTGAAAACAATGGGCCATTAGGCCTGGACAGCCACCGAGCAACAGTGCTGCAAATAGTAACCACTGCTGTGACGACCACGGGGGAGGGGGGACTGTTGCCAAGCAACAGCCGGACACAAGACTATAATGTAACAGCATTACACGGTGATAAACGGGGCCATCGCTCAATGTTCTGTGTGTGTGTGTGTGTGTGTGTATGCAGACGTCAGGCCCATCATGTTTGCAAAGCACAGCCCGTGCTTTCTGCCCTCCTTGGCCCGGAGGAGGAAATGACACATATCCATTTCCTATTGCTCCTTCAAGAGAAAGAAGCCCAGTTATGCAACGACGTCTCCAACGTTCACAGAGCACTCCCGCAGAGTGGGGAGTGAGAAACGGATCGTGGTGGATTAAGTAAGATAAACGGAGGTGGATTTGCCCAGAGACAAAGACATCCGGACCACAATAGAAAACTTTGTTTGGACACAAAGAGACTTAAGCAAGGACTAAGGGCAGTTCAAACACTATAAAAGCTAAATAATATACAAAGAAAATGATAATACTAATTCACATTATTTTTTAAAGAGCAAAGACAAAATAATAATAGCATAGGTTGACAAACACACCTACAATGCACTCAGGCTGCGCAAACTAAAGACAATCCGAGGCCAAACTAGTCAACTGCTTAAGATTACAAAAAGCATCGACTGTGAAGAAGAGGAAACAGACGGGGAGGTTCTGGTTTTAACTGTGTAACTGGTGTTGCTTAACGCTTGAGGTGATGAAAGCAGAGATAGGAACAAGACGTTTCACACTAAGACGTGACCAGTCACTTTCAACAACTTGCCCCGCCGCAATATTCTGTCGAAAACATTTTGTTCTTTTTGCAGCTATGAAAAATTAAGTATTTGGACTTTGCATATATACTAAAAAGGGGGTGTTTTGCAGAGCTGTAGCAGCCCATCGCAAAAAAATAAAAACACAGTTAACACACACAGGAGTTTGGCAGCCAGACCAGGTTCTACAACTAACTGTTCACACTGGAGGGCAGCAGTTAGGAGAAGAACAAACACAGGCGTGGGGCGGCAGGTCGAGTTACGCAAACAAGAGCAGCACAAACTGAAAGCAACGATCACCGGAGAGACACTACTAGAACATCATGCACAAATGGCATGTTATGCTGGAATTAAATTGTTGATGAGAAGAGAGAGAGAAAAAATAAAGATCCTGCAGGTATGGAGGGAATTGCGCAACATGAATATACCACTAACAGTGAGTGATCATGTATTATTCATAAAGCACTACGTATGAACAGCAGGTGTGGGGTCCACCGTCATACATGGCTTCACTATTGACCATCACAACAAACTGGGACGCACAACAGTGATCCATAAACACTGCTATGTGTCTTTTTTTGCTGTTTTACTTCCCCAAACCAGTAAAAAAGAAACATTGTGTCAAAGCCACTCTTCTTCTGGTCTTGTTATTTGTTTTTTTTTTAACTGTGAAGTGAAACTGACATTCAGAAGAACTCTTCTCTAAAAAGCATTCATGTCAGGGCCTACTCAGGATTCAACCTTCCAATGCGACTAGGTGCTGGAGTAAATCTCACCTAGATTGAAGGGAGCCTGACACAAGCTGCCCAAATCAGCGAGCACGCCGAGATGATAGCAGTCTTTCCTTCCACCCGATCTGCTCAGCTGAATTATTCACGCACCCGGTGCTCCGTTTTCATTGTGGGAGCCTGTTTTGTGTTTTGTTTTTTACGTCACTGGCCCCCGCAGGAGAGCACAGTCACCTCACCGGGCCCTGCTGCGTCATGCTGCCATGGCAACGACACATCAGAGCATGACGAGCGCCGGGAAGGCTTCTGCCACAGACTTCCATCTACAGAGTTCTGCTTGTAAAAAAAAAATCAAAACCAAGTTCAAGCGTGTATCCGTTACAAATCATTAAGCCGATGACTAAGCAAGGCCGCTCCAGTTCGCTGTAGGTGAATAAAGACTATTGCAGAAAGCAATGAGCGTCTCTCATGTGATCATTTATATGCGGCTCATGCTGGCAAACAAACCTTCGAGAGCATTAAAACCCATTAAAACAACTCAGTTGCAGTTTGTGTGGGAGTCATGGACACAAACATATTAATTGTGCCTTTAATGCGAGTGTTCAGACAACCTCAATATTTCCCGCCCTGGAGGGCTGTTTTTTTGCATAGACTTTTTGCTTTAAATCCACACTGCTGGCAACGCTACTACCTATGGCTTTGGAAAATCCAGGGAAAACCCCAGCACTGTAAAAAAAAAAAAAACCCTCATCCTTCCCTCTGCGGTGAGGCCAGCATTTCTTTACAGCTTCACCGTGGTAACAATACAGTGCAGCCATTATGCAACATGAGCGCTGGAGACGAGGAGACACTGTGTCCTGCAAACCACTCGCCTGATAACCCCATGTACAAACAAAACGACACACACTCTGGACTCTGGGAGTCAAATTACAGAATCATATAGAGATAACGGGAGGGGGGAAAAAACAGTAGTGTGGTGCAAAACAGTGTGGCGACATCTCCCTGTGAATACAGACGTTTACCTAATCTACCTACGCACGATGCACAACGTGAACTACGAAAGCGTAGACCGCCAGCTGTCGTCATGGCTAAACCGACACACACACACACACGATGGAAAGTAAAAATAGAGAGAAGACTGGTCTCCCATTATAAAACAAACAGTTACTGTGTCTGTACTCTTTGAATAAACTTTCAACCCAATGGCCCTCTATTATTTGGCCACAAATAGATGCCTTGCAAAGCAAAAAGTAATAAAAATAATAGAGTGGAACTGTTGGTGGCCACAGAAAAACACGGCCAGATCTACCACACCGATTTTTTTGACTTTAAAAAAAAATCCTATCCAAGTTTAGTTATCGTGGAGCATGATAGGGTATATTGTTTAACGTGCATTAAGTATCCAGCCTTGGCAGCTGTTGCACAGACACGAGCACACATAAGAGCACCCACCAACCACACACCCACACCCACACACACACACACACACGCCTTTTTTTCCTGGATCTAAATGTGGGTTTTCACATACCACATTCTTCCCGGACCTTCTGTGTCCTGAGCGACCTCCCTAAAACTCAGTGCCAGCCTATTTTAACTGCTATGTGGGCTCAGCCTCGCCGATGCTGCTCAAAGACGAAGCACGCACAGGCACACGCGCTGGCACACACGAACGCACGGCCGTACTCACACTTAACCGGGTCAACTGCAGAGCCTAAAGGTTACATAACGACTATAGCTCCACTCGTCTCTGTATGAGGGGGGGGGGCTAGAATGTGGATGACTTTTGCAGAAAAGGAGAAGTTGCACCCAGGGTTGACGCTGGCATATTGGTGCTCTGAGGCGCTTGTTTTTACATTTGGTCTAAAAGAATTCACTACTTTTTTGTGTCCCGATTTAGACACCACGAGCATGCATACCGTTGAAATAACTGAGACAACGTTCTCTCTACATTCGTCCTCTTTACAGGGCTATAAAATCAGGCCTGGAGGAGTGTCATGATGCTCTGTGCAGTGCTTTAGCTGCAGAAATACAACAGTATCTCAAAAGTATTCATCATGAATTGCACGTATATTTGCAACAGCTTAGCCAACTCGACCAGGCCTGCTTGCCGAAACTTGCTGGCGAGAGCGGAGGTGAATGAAATTACCAGTCTCACTGAGTGGTGAACAACAAGGAAGCACTTTGCCTTGGAAACAAGCGTGAAAGTCATTTAACCTGCCACCAACTTCCACAAGCGGTCGAGTCAACAACGAGTCATCAACAATTTACAGTCGATTTCAAACGCGACAACAGGTTTTGATGTTGAACAAATGTTCCACTCTGTACAATCTCTCTCTCTTTTTTTTTTGGTGTGGCATACTGTGAGTTTACGGCTTAATAACTAAACAAAGTTGTTTTGCGCAACAATGTGTCTCGAAAGTTCACAATCCTGTTTCCTTGCCTACCAGACGTGCCAAACATTTCACGACGCCGTTCCTCGTGTAAACATCTCGGTTATGCAAGAGTGGCAGAATCAGAGCGTGACGAGCTGAACGCACATGCAATGTATGAACGCAGGCACGGGTCCAACAATGAGTATGTGCGGGACGGAGTGAGGCAGCAGGGCAAACGGAAAGACAGCGGCCGAAAAGGACAAAAACGTGATGACGGATGCAGAACAAGGGGGTTGGGGGGGGAGCACTTCCCATTTAATATGAAGAGAGGCACATAAACACAAAGCTGGGGCACGACTTTACTAAGCCCTGCGGGAAACACACAGAGAGACACACACACACGTAAACAACCATTACCTTGGAACTAAGTCAGCTAACAGTGTTGGGATCTCATGACATTTCACTGCGCGACATATCTGATCTTCCTAAAACATATTCTACCCCGTGAAACTAAAACCTGAACATTTTGTAATATTTCACTCAGTTCCTTGCGGTGTGCAACTTTGTATTTTTTGTGCCATTTTTTTGGTTTCTCTCGCACCAAAATGGGATGGATAACTCAACTACGCAATTCCTCATAAATATTGCATCTGGGTCGTGAAAAATATCACTGCATCTGTAGTACTTTCTACTCTGACAAGAGCCAGTCTAATGAAATGACTCGATCACAGCCCAAAAAATTTTTTTTTTTAAAAATGTGTGGGTTTTAAAAACAGCTTTGATACAAGAGCACCTTGAAGTGCTTTCAAAGTCCTCACCTGTAGTATCTGGACTGCAGGTAAGTGGAGCAGACAGCCTTGGAGACGTGGCTGGCTGAGCCGAAGTCGATGACCTTGACTCTGTAGGGCTGCCTGGAGGGGTCCACCAGCATGATGTTCTCTGGCTTCAGGTCAGCATGGATCAAACCCAGACACTTGAGCTTCTTTAAGGCTGTTGTCACCTGCAAACAGTTACATGAACAAAAGGCGTATTATGACTGAGTTTGGCACTCTCGAACCCAACAAAACATCGTCTTCCGTGAGCACCTGTGTTTGCATCCATGGTTGCTGTATTTACATGTATGTGCTACGTCTGTGGACTTGTGCGACACACTTGACTTTTACCTGCTGCAGAACGGGCCGGATGATTTTGAGCGGCAGCGGACTGAACTTGTTCTGTTTCAGGAAGTCGTAGAGGTTTTGCTCCAGCATCTCAAACACCAAGCAGGTGTGGCTGTGGTGCTGAAAGCACTCCAGGGCGCGCACCACATTGTGCTCTTCTGCATTTTCGCTGCTCAACCGGGCCAGGATATCCACCTGGGGGGGAAGTCAAGAACAAGAGAGGAAATAGCACAGGTTCAGTTCAGACCATCAAGGCAAAAATGCAAATCACAAAAGAAAACAGCATTATTAGCATGTTGATGGATTAAACAGTCTCTGCTGTGATCAATAATGGCACTAGAAGCATTGCTTCTCAAACACTGAGGATGATACATTTCAGCTCACCTCAATCTGTCCCTGACGTGCATAGGATGGGTGGTTCTTCAGTATCTTGACCGCCACCACTTCCCCTGTTCCCCTCTTCCAGCACTTCACCACCTGACCAAAGGTGCCACGGCCCAGGAACTCCAAGACTTCGTAGCTGTTCTTCAGGGAGCACAGAACCTCGTGCTGAACTAGCTGGTAGTCACCGTCTCCCGATCCGGTTCTGGTCACCGTAGCTCCTGCCGCTGCCTCCATGCTGCCGTTAAGCCTGATTTCGGTCCCTTCCGCGCTAATTCCCATGCCGGTCACTGCCTCAGCCCTGCCGTGTTGAGTAGACAGTGTCCCTCCACCCACTACTCTGACAGTGTCTGCATTGTTACCGGTGCTGGTTTGCAACATGGCCACAGCGGGAGGAAGTGAAGGTATAGCAGATACCTCCTCCACTATCTGCATGGTTCCTGCGAAGCTGTTCTCCTGCGGATTCTCTCCACCTTCGCCTGCCTTCTGTTCACATCTCTGGGGGGCACCTGTTTCTAGGCTGCCGTATCCCCCTCTCGCTTGCGCTCTTCCGTTTCTGCCCTCCTCCTCTGCTCGGTTGCAGGCCTTCCTCAGTAGCCCGCAGTCCAAGCTTCCTCCTGACAGAGTTCTACCACTGTCTCTGCGAAGCCTCACTTCCTTTGGGCCTCCGCTCTGGATCCTAGCCGGGCCTTCTCCTCGTCTCTCCCAGCTCTCCTCTCTCTGTAATCCCACGGCCTGCGATGCACACTCCTCCCTCTCGCCAAGCTGTAGTCCCCCGGGGCGACTTCCTGGATCAGCACCGGCTGAGGATGGGATCACGTTGTTGGGGTAGGCGATACCGTAGTTGACGCCGATCACATAGCTCTTGGGCGTGGGTCGGTGCTGAAAGGCTCTGCTGGTGTTATGACCGTGGCGAGCTTCGTCTTTGTGTCTGCTGGTACCACTGCTGCTAATTCCTAAGGCACTTGTTTGAGCTGAGTGCAGGTGTGTTGGGTAGACCAAGACTTGTGAGGCCATACCTAAAGAACAGAGAGAAATAAACCACAGGCCACATGGATCTTTTACTCAAGAATAAAGCAAAGTTGAACCAAGTAGGCTTTAATGCTGTGTTCACACCAAATGCGAAGCGTTACTCGTGGGTGACATAACTACCACAGCTGTATCAACCCAAAACAAGCCATTTTGCTGCTATTAAATTGCAATAAACGGCTAAAAAAAGATGCCGATTAGTAAAAAGTCTGAATTTATGCTGGAGAATCTCAACACGGCTGGGCTTTTGCAACACAGTCACGCAAATTTCTCGCTCGAGAAAAAATATTTGAACTTGCGCAAATACGAGATTGAGGCCAATTTAACGTATTAGCGTTGCGTTGTTTGCGCCGGCTGGCGCGATTACGCTTTGCATTTGGTGTGAACACAGCATAAGGCCTTGATTAGGATTCATTTACATGATTAACATGTTGAGATAGGCATAGCCTACGCCAGCTTGTAAGTAAGTGATTCGCTGCACAAAAACTCCATTAATTAAAATGTTGTGTACAGAGAAGTGAACAGCTTAAAGGCAAAGTAGCAGCTTCCTTATCGACATCCTTCTGAACAAGACTGCGGTTTTATATAATGTTAAAAAAAGCTGCCAAAGCATCTAAGCCATCATACCATCCGTACTTAACAGAGGAACAGGACTACTGTAATGGGAGATGGGGGAAGCCCGTTGCATCTCTGGCCTGTCCCCTGCACGCCACACTGGAGGGTCAGTTTCACACAAACTAGAACCGCAAAGAAAGCGGTGACCCGGGGGGGGGAAAGGATGCACCACGAAGCACGATGGGTCATTTTACACCTATGAACTCAAATGAGTGATCGGTTGATAAACCTTTTCTGTCTGGCTTGCTACTGAAATATTGTGACGAAAACTGAGCAACATCCTCAATTCTGATCAGCTTCAAAGCCCCCAAATCTGAATAAATCAAATGCTGAAGTAAATTCAACCAAGGGAGCCGACGGAGTTCTGTCGGCTGCTGTATTAGTTTACGGCCTGTGCAGCCGCTATACCTCTGTGACTGCAATCAGACAGGTCTCACTCTACCTCCACATTTTGTGGGATCTTGAAGATCAATGGCGATGTCATTATATACATGGTTTATATAGCAAATCAGATTTTTTTTTGCCCGTAACAAGTTTCAGCCATATCTTTACATCTACTTTTGAATGTGACCCATATCCGACATCCGCATTTACAATCGAAACAACCCGCATGCGTACATGAATATGGTTCATGCCTTATAAACAGTCTAATCATTATCTGCAATGGACAAATGACAGAGATGTATCCTTTCTTTAGCCCTTGAGGCACTAGTAGTGTTTCTCACCCTCTGGTAGTTAGACACAAAAGAGGGGGGAAAAAACACAGGTACTACGAATGAAATGTAGAGAACAGAAATCTCAACCACATGCGTTTTATCAACAGCTAACATACTGCCAGTCATGTAAGTTTGAGCCTATTGAAACACCTTTCTTTCATTTAGTTTTATCAGCTAAATGAATGAGTATGTCATATACATGGTGTATCACATGTGTATCAAACTTTCATGAACGCAAACAGTATTTTCAGACGATATCTGTAAAGTTCTCTTCAAGTTTCTTTAAGGGAACACTCCTCTCCTTGCAGCAAGTCATGACACCAGGATAATGGGGAGCCTGTCAGCCACACTTCCTGACTATTTCCAAAGAGAGACAGATTGTGCCCGATAGGGCTCACACGCAGACTCCAGGTGATTCCAGTCTTACGGCTACATCGCACAAACGCACTTATGAAGAGGATTGTCTTAAGCACAGTGTTTCATCCTACAAAGAAAGGCCTGCTGAGAGCCAGTGGCCCTCCTAACTAACGAGGCCGTCAAACGCAGGCTCAGACAGGCTGAGGGGTGTGCCTCAGCGTCAACAGACAATGCAGCACACTTCATTTCTCATGCCTTGCCAGGGCTGGTGAGTTTTACCTGATACGCTGCTGACAGAGATTGACAACCACTGTTGTGACCCAACTTTGCTTTCAAACAAGGAAGAACTCTTGAGCAAACGCACACACTTCACTCCAGTTAGAACAATGTCACCAGAAGCCTACTCAAAAGTGCAAAACGAAGATGACTACTACTGCACTATCTGGTCAATACATGTATGAGTTTACCTGTAAATTGGAGGTTGTAATTAAAAGTCCTGCAACCAACAAATCTGCACATACAGACTGCAATGACGTTGTCATTGGAGATCACGGGCAATAAAGCAACAGAACCACTACTATCTGACTGGCTCGGTACAAATGTTTTACCCTGTGTATGCTTGACAAGGTGCCATGACCATCAGTCATTGAGGGATAGGCTGCTGGCATGGACACAGCAGCCCGCTCACTGCCAACCTAGGTAGCCTGATATCCCACAGGGCAACGAGATGCAAGCCTGAAATGGAGAGCCACGACAGAGGTGTGTGTGTGTGTGTGTGTTTCAGTTGTAAAAGTAATTTGTTACTTATCAATCTAAGAGACAGTTGACATATGGGAAGGGGTGGCGTGTGTGTTTGGGGGAAGGGCAACACCAGCCTAGACACCTGTTGAAACTTATGTTGTTAGTGACAGGCAGCTAAATAATGGCTGTTACACGACGTGGAATATGTATTAAATAACTCAAATCAAGCTTTAAAAAATACACTAGACAATTTATACTTACTGTAAGGCAAGTGTTACGTTTTTTTAACGTCACCTAAATACATTGTTAATTTCCTTACATTTTTTTAAGATAAGCTACGTAGTATGTGGGAGGTTAAGTTATTCAATATCAAAACACAAACAAGTGCATGCTCTTAATAGATCCCCGAATAACTACTATTCGTCGTTAGCTCAAACTAATTAGCTTTCGCTGCTAACACTTGTCTGTAAGTTGGCTAGCTTACAGTTAGCAAACACGCTAGCTATGGGCGAAGTAGTTCCGACGTCAAAAAGAGAAACTAGACTAACACAACCGTAACACTGAAAACTGATTTAACAACCAGTGTAGTCAGACAAAGTCACATACCTTCAGTAAGACCTATAAATCGCATCACCCAGAGCGTCAAGGAACAGAATAGCGACGAGGACCCGCACCACAGTCAAATCCTGCAACGACGATGCCGCTGCTGCCATCTTGTTCAACGACGAGGTGAGACCGAGCGACTTTTCACACATTTGAAGCTTCAAATAACGCAAATAACTAGCTGTTACAACCGCCAGCTATGACCCATGGTTTCGACAGCCGTCTCAGGATTCGCCCTGCGTCGCTATAGTCTCTATTCAGCAGCAGGAACCCGTGTTTCTAAACTTTTGCATGTTAATGCGCCGCGTCCGCCGACGGAGATAGCCGCTAGCTGTTGCTGCTTGTTCGGTAGCTTGTTGCTTCTCCGCATGTGTGGAATGTTGGGGAGGAGAGCGAGCGAGCGAGCGAGAGAGAGAGAGAGAGACTGTACATGTCATACTGTGACTGACAACTTGACTCCCATGTTGGTTTTCTCCATTAGATGCATTTAGATACGTTACAATTGACGTTTTGAATCATACAATGAGCTGAATTGAATGATTAATTTCCTCAAAATCTGCCTACATTCCGACTGCCCTGGGTCTCAGGTTCACTGCAGGTCAGTTGGCTTCATTAATTAGATTATTGCAAATTAATTTGGGAATCTGCAGGAAATGGTCTACAATATCAATCAAAAACGTTTCTACATTTTCACCTAATGTTGTGTCTGCACTTAGAGGGTCTAGTTCTGAGAACTTTATTTTGTAGTTTATGCTGGCATGGTGCATTTTTTTTCCAAATAAAGTTGTGTATTACATTCATGCAAAGAAACTGGCACAAAGAAAAACTGGTGCCAGGTCGCAGCTTATTACACCAGCGCAAGGGAACTGGTTGTTTGTGGGTCTGCTATGGTGGCCTTAAAGGGACATGTGTAGTCTGTTTAGTTTACCATACTTCGAAGAAATAGTCCTTCCGTTGTCCCTTGAACCAGACACTGGCCCTCAGAACTGCAGTTGGTGTCTGGATCTTGCCACGTAACTGCCTACAGACTGAGTGAAATGCAGGGAAATCCTTCAGCCAATGATCAGTCGAGTAGAACTTCCTATTCTCATGTGGCCTACAATACTATTGCCGATAATTAAATAATTTATTCCATCAAATGCTTTGAATGGGTTATCTTTGCATTTTATTTGGGTTTCACAAAGATTATTCAAATTCAAATGTACCAACTATTTTTGTAAAGTAAGGCCAAAAATGATTTGCCTTATTATTTGACATCTCAGACCCAAACAAATATCACAAGAAAAGATAAGACAGTGTTAATTTATCCCGAAGGAAACTCTTGTGCCAGAGATTGATCACAGATTACAACAGAATAATTAAAAACATAGAGTAGATATATAAACATATGTAAACAATAGAGTAATACATTTGAAGTGATTAAAAAATATTGACACCAGTGCAAAATAGAATAGCAAAAAGACTAAGATATACAGTAGCCTATATTATAAAATAAGTAAACTAAAATAGAAAAAGTATATGACAGAAACATAAGCATAAAAATGAAAGTAACACTAAAGTATTACTAACACCAGTGCCTGATAGAAACTAAAATAGAAACGTAGTATTGTGCATGATATTGAGAGTAATATTGGCAATGATATTGAAAAGTAATACAAATGTATATTGAATTGCAATGTGACTAAATCATATAATTTGACACAATATGGAGCTTATTGTCCTTTGTGTCCGATGTTTCAGCTGTCCTTCCTGCAGAAGGGGGAGGAGTATACAGTTCTGTGGTGCACGTCAGTGGTCTACGACTAAAGGAGCTCTGAAGTGACTCCAGTGTGGTGTGCAGAAAATGAGAGGCATTGTCCACAATACTTAGCATCCTCCTCTCTGACACCTCCACCACAGACTCCAGTTCCACACCCACTGGGTTCAGACCTTTGCCTCCCAAAGTCCACCACCGGCTCCTTACTCTTAGGGATGTTGGGTTGCATGTGCAACTTTGTAATTCAGGACTATACGTGTCCGGAGTACAACAGACCATATTCAAATGTGATAATCTAGCTCTTTCAAAATAAAGGTCTAGCACCCAGGAGTCACTGCCATTCTGTTTTATTCATCCAGTCTCCTCGTGTTGTCGCACTTATATTGTTGAAATTGTAATATGCTCCTTGTTGCACACATGCTCAAACACTTTACAGTCAATGGTCCGTCAACTCGAGAGCAATTTGAAAATTTTGTGGAGAGAAAGTAACTAATCACTTTTTGCTTGTTAAAGGACTGCTATTCATGCAAGTATCGTATATTCTGCTAGAAAAATACCAGAATGTACTGGAATCAAGTAATTAATGATACAACTGTTATATCGGATGAATTGGAGTTCTGGCTCCACCTAGGTCTTGTATGTAAACTACATGCATGTGGTTTGGTGAAGATGATTGGTCCTCACACAAAGTTCAAATGTTGTTTTGGACCCGAGAACATAACGTAAACCAACAACCTGTAGAGGGATTAAAGAAATGACTCAGCCATGTGGGACAAACAATGCTTTATTGGCATGTTGGATTGACATTAAAAGACAAATAGTGTAATTGCTGTGGCCAGGCAATGAACATGTGTTATTCATTTGGGGAATAGGCAATGTAATTCTGCTTTGTAGAGTGAAGAAACGTTACAACAATTGTATGGTGTGGTCGGTTGAGTGTGTAAAATATCATGCAAAGCAACGGGCCTCATTCTCAAAACTGTGCTCAAACCGTACAAACGGTTGACACACAATTATGGGGTTCATTATTGTACATTAGTTTTTAATCTGTCAACAAATGTATAACTGCCTACATTAAAAAGAACCACATTCATTAACAAAAAGGATGTTATAAACAACAATATTTATTGCATTAGACAAAAGTATTAAATAACTTAATGAAATTGATGCCCTTTGATCCACATCGGTTATTGTCATAATTAAAATATATATTTCAAAGCTTCTTTTGAGGTTTTCAAATCCAAATGTCTGTCTTCCTATTTTACACACACATTAGTGAATGAGGCCCAATGTGTTTGTCAAAAGTAAGAATTATTATCATCTTATTAACCATCAGAAATAGTAAGAACAAGATAACTTAATTGTTAAACTATGTAAGGATTAAAGAGAGCAACAGTTCAAGTTGGTCTGTAACACCAGTCTGGTTTCCCTCGAGGCGGCTACACATCAGTTCTTACTGCTCACTTTCCATTTTTCTAATAAACTGTAAAACGCACATACCATGGATGCAAAAAGTCTACATACCTTTTATTTTTATAATACCCGTGTGGCCTAAGTTAAGAAAAAATATGTAGGAAGTTATTCACAGATTCTTGTTACAAGAGGAATCTGTTCATTCTTGGATGGATTTGGTCATATTTAGATGTATGATCTAGCCCCCTGCAGCATTAAGGAGATTCGGACCCTCAAGCAGACTTTTACTTTTTGACATAGATTGAGTGTTCAAAAAGGTACATTTTCATTTTTTTTAATACGCTGCATTAAAAAGGCTTACTCAATCTGATAAACCAAATAAGAATTATTTGATTTCAAGCACAAGATGTAACCCCTTTGTATCCGCTGTATTTCAGTGTCAAAGACATTCATCTTGTCATCTGTTGTCTTGTTCATTCTCTCACTTGTGTGTGCTCGATCGATTAAACCGGGTCAGTAGCACAGAGTATGAAAACTTCCTGGTCCTGAAAGCTGTTACTGAATACTTAGACAATTTGATAAATACAAACCCTGGCCGAGTGTAGTGAGTCAGTCCCTGCCAAACATTGTATGAGTGATGCAGATTTTTGCGCTACAGTGTTCGGAGCACGAGCACTTTATCAATGCTCTCAAACCAGGAAATAACTCCCATCTCTGCCAGTATATGAAGGAGAGCTCCAGGAGATACTGGCCAGGCACAGACTCAAAGTTGTTCTTATTTCTTAAGATCATTTTGTTGTATTTTCTTGCCTTTATTCAAAAGTATAAGCGAGGGGAAAGAGGGGACCACAAAATGCAAAAGGCCACATGTGGGATTTGAACCCAGGCCTCTGCAGTAAGCATGGTAACATAGTTACTTAAGACGGAGGGTTCTCAATTATTTTTCAGCCTCGGACCTCTTACAATATAGGAGAACATACCGGGGACCTCTCTGTACGATGAAAAGATCAGGTGCAGTAACTTCCCGCAGTCGACACAGTAAGAAGTGTACATCCACACTACTCCGTTTCTATTTGGAAACAGAGTTTTCAAATAGAATTGATCTGCATCCACACGGCAACCTTCGAAAACGGATATCACGTGACCATTAACGTACATCACGTGACCATTAACGTACACTGTGACACAGTGTAAACAGGAGGTAGATTGGTTGCTTAGTTAAAAATAATACGACAGAGTAATAAAGTAGTCTTTAATAATGAAAGGTCGTGTTTGATACTTAAGATCTTCTCTAAAATCTTCCTCTATGAACTCAAACAGATACATTTCGTGGAAAGTTTTAGAAGTTTTATTTTTCAGACTTCGTTACAACACTGCAGGTCTTTCTCCATCTCTCTCACACATCAAATTTACTATAAAATCAACACTAACACGTAAACGTTTACTAGATTATGGGTCCATGAATGTGGTCAACACACGTCTCTCACTCGTTTCCTCGGTAGTGTTGTCTGTTCTCACTCGTAGCTCTGCTGGTGGCTTAACTATCTGTCCTACTGAATAGCATTTACTGCTAACCGTGACTTCAGACGTCCGCTCCGTAGGTCTAGTAACGCCGCTGGTCACGCCGCTCGCTAATCGCTCCAATAACAGCTGCTTCCTCTGTAATAATGCAGACTTTAACTGAACAACAGCTGCTAGTAAAGACAAGGTCAGCATCGCCTGCAATCAGTTGTCCATGTTGGATTAACCTGGTAGTCAATCGGTAATCAATGTTGTTATTTGTGAGCTTCCGGGTAAGGGTCACGTGATAGGAGTGTGACGAATCAGGGAAGGACACGTCATGACTGCTAAGAACCAATGAAGTAGCGAACGCGGGTGTGGGCGTCATCGTTTCTGAATGTATCCGGTTTCGGCCGTCCACGCGAAAACGCAACCCCGGAGTTTTCAAACTTATCCGACGTCGGGAGCGTTTTCAAACTCCTCCATTTACGGTGCTCTAAAACTCCGGCGTAGTGTGGACGCTCAGTGTAAACGTAGCAAAACATATGCGTTTCCAAACAAAAACGGAGTAATGTGGACATGGCCTGAGTTTGCTCTGCAACCAGAGGAGAAGTCCTTGCTCCCGGGCCGATATTAGAAGATGCCTATATTTCCCTTGAGATAAATAAATCCATCCATCCATCTATCTAAGAAATAGTCAAGTAACGCCCTGTAAAAACCACAAATTGCCATGTTTGCCCTTCAGTTTTTGTACGAGTTAAAGAAACAGGAGGTAACATGTTAATTCAGAGGTGCTGCTAGGTTAATTCTGCAGCCTTTGGCCTGAGCGAGACCTGCTGCTTTGTTCTTGTTCCCAGTCTTTGTGCCGAGCTAATCTAGTTGGCTGATCTTCTTGTCCAACTCGTCGAGAAAGCGAGCACATTTCCCAAAATGTGGAACTATTCCCTTAATAAGCTTATTGTCATCAAGCGTTCCTCAGGCTTCTCTCCTCTCATGGAATGTGCCCGCATGTCTCTGCTTGAACGCCCTCTCCTTGCAACTCCTGACAGGTTGAGACACCTCTAGAGCGCCTTTTAAAGAAGCCGTGTATGATATTCAGAGCACGAATACAGCATCAAACATGAGAACAGTTGGCTAGTGAGTACTGAGATGCTTGATAAATAAAAGGCCCTGACCCTCTTCCTTAGATCTTTAAGATTTAAAAGCCTAGTTTTGTTCATCTTATATTTTACGCAGCAATAGTTTTGTTTTTTTGTTGAAAGAAATGTGTTTATACGCTGCAAAGTAAGGTGACCATAACACTTAGTATTGGTTCTAAAACACAGGTATTGTATTGACTCGGATGTCAAAGGAATGATACCAGGCCATGCTAGTAATACTGAACAAATCATGGCCGGATGGTTATGAGGCCTGAGATTTGATCATATAAGCAACAGTGTGAGTTAATGCAACCGAGATGGTCACTAGCGTTTTTTTGTTTATATTGGTTTCAGGTGCAAGCGCTGGGGACAGATCAGCGTCCTCAAATTGTTTCTCTAAATCTAAACCCTTACCAGTGTGTGTGTGTGTGTGTGTGTGTGTGTGTGTGTGTGTGTGTGTGTGGGGCAGTCTAACTGCTTTCCATTTCAGTGCTTACGTCCCTGCGCTGGGACTCTCCCCGGCTGTCAGTAGGTTCTGGAGAATCTTTTGGTAGAACGGGGAGAAGACCAGCTTGTTGAAGTTGATGAGGCGACTGAAGCGAACGGCGAGCTCCTTCACCTCCCTGCCGACTGGGGCCAGACCTCCTGGGAGAGGGGGAGGGGTCTTATGTTGACTGGACTCCAGGGAGGCCAGTAGGTAGTTCTGAACCCGAGACTCTGTGAAGAGAGGAAAAGAGAGGAGTCGCTGCCATATAAATGTGTACACAAAACGCACAGTCGACCCCCAAGAAGCCCTCAGACGCACTGACAGTCGTCATCAATGTTCTTCTTACCCATTAGCTTGCGGACTGTGTTGTCCTGCTGGACGATAGCTGAGATCTGTCCCCTCAGAGTGCTCTTTCGGTCGGCCGAGAATGGAGAGTAGCCATGTTTGGTCAGACACTGACTCAGCTCAACACACAGTTTCTCCCCGATGGTTTCTAAGGCCTCCTTTACACTAAAAGACCTAGCGACAGGCAACAAGGAGGCATTAAAGTACAATATTCTTGCGCAACACACATTAAAGCTGAATTTGTCCATTTTGTTGTGGAAGGTCACTTGGCGGAGAAGAAGAGGTTGGAAACAAGACATTGATATTATCAGCCAGTTTATATGGAAAATGTGTAATAAGTACAAGAATCGTGAAGATAAATAATAATTTTATAATAATCTTAAATAATTAGTGAACTGAAAAACTATTAACGAAACTTCATTCAAAAGTGTTCCGAATCAGCTCTTTTGATTTACAGAATATCATTTTAACAGGGCAAATATTACCTGAATAATTAAATGATTAGTCCAGTGTAGCTCTACTAAACGTTTGTGTGACAGTGAAAGCGCGACCGCTACTCACGGCGTGTGCATGTCCGCAAGCATGACGTTGACAATGTTCTTAAGCGTCTCCATCAGCCCCGGCAGGCCTGAGATCGCCTCCCCTGTGGTGGTGTAGACGATGAGCAGCACGGAGGAGAGCACGACCAGCTGTTCTTCCTCCCGATGCATCTCCTGGAACCGGACCTGATCCATCAACACCGTCTACAGAAAGCAGGAGGTGAGAAGAGAAGAGGCTTCATGGTGGCAGAAACACAAAAAGGGACAGAAAGCATAAAAAAAGACATACACCTAGCGGCTAGAACCCGGTGACTGGCTTCATGTTTACCTCAGGGAAGGGGTCGGAGGAGTGGTCCCACCTCAGCAGGCGGATATAGGCGTGATTATGGACGTTGACGGGGAGGAGGGAGGGAGGGTCAGACGACGCAGCACAGGAAGCGTCCTCTCTCAGGCATCTCACTGTGTCCTCAAGCCACTTCTCGGTGTAGTCTAAGGCATCTGAAGAACGGATCGTTCTGTTGTTACATCCTGGTTTTCCCAAACACTTGGGATGCCAAAACAAAGAGACACCATATCCATCCGTTGGCTAATAGCAACTTCTTCGAGTGGGACATCCCATCGTTTATTACGTCGGTCGTCAATTACTTCAATATTTCAGCTTATTTTGCTAAGAGATATCGATAAATAAGATTGTACTGTACTTCCATACATAAAACAAGCAGGAATGTGTGATTGTGAGGAAGTGATCAAAGTCACTGAATTTAAATCTTTCACATTTAGTTTCAGGGTGGGCTATAATTGGCTACCTGCATCGCTGCAATACTACAAAGAAGGAGAAAAAAAAAAGGCCATGTTATCTACAAAGGGTTTCAGCTGTCAAATGTCTGCGTGTAGGTTTGGATCTACCTATATGTGGCGGCCCATTACGTCATTTATTTATTTTGCACGGATAATTCATACGACTTATTTCATGGAAGAGAGATTCCTTACTGGGGTGTTTGTCCAGAAACCCCTGGAACTTGCTCCTCTCATACTCGACCGACTGCTGCATCAGGTGAGGCCGGAGGCTGGTCAGGGCGAAGTTAGCCATGTCCACCTTCATCAGGTCCAGCACGGAGAATATGGCCCTAGGAAGGAGGGACGGCACAGACAGAATCAGGGATTTATATTTAAATGTAATGTGGAGGTTTGAAATTCCAGGTCCGACTTGGCTTGAAAGTGAACTTGTCATTCGGTCTCATTACGTCTGCGTTAGCTCCTCCACTATTACGTCACTCCAGAACACGCTGACTTCTGCGCCGTAATGGACTGAGAATTAAATTACACAAGTCAAAAATAAACAGAGGCCCCGCCAGATGCCGAACTCATAATAGTTCCCCGGCTCACTTGAGTAGGGGCACGATGTTGGTGATGTCCTTCAGCTTGCTGATGTCCTCGTCTCGGCAGGGGGCGCACAGCGAGCCCATCATCTCGACGACGAACTGGGACAGTTTGCCGATGTCGAGCGCGCCGTTCTCGGCCTGCTGCTGGATCAGAGCCACATCCAGGACCTCCTCGATACGGGAGCGCAGGCGGCCGTGGCCCGGCAGCAGGAAGGACAGCAGAGTCTGGAGGCGGGCAGGGAGACAGGTGATGACTGAAGGCGGGAGAGGGAAGACAGATATAGTGTAGTTTGGTATGGCGAAGCCGTGCAGCCGCGACCTTTCTCAAAATAGATAACAACCGCGGGGATCATATCTCCGGAGAGGAGGCGGTAGCTAAAAATAAGACTTTGCATTTGAACCTCACCTCTCTGATCTCAGCCAGCAGTTTGATGCAGTGTCCGTACGTCTGCGGCTCCTCCTTCAGCTGAACTTCCAAGCAATCCCAGAATGCTTTGTGCATGATCTCCTTCACTTGGCGCTCCAAGCTGTTCAGGGTGCACAGGAGGGACTGTTACTTCTACAGCGAGAAAGAACTCGGTCAAAGACGAGGACTCGAGGCTGTGTCTGATTGAACTCTCACCTCCCCTCAGGAAGCTCTGTAGGTTTGACTTGAAAATCCTGGTTGACCATTATTTCATGGGCCAAAGCCATGTTGGTGACTCCTTTAGCCGTCTTCATCAGCTCCTCCACGGAGACAAACCTGGGGGGGCTGGCTGTGAGGGAAATCCATCTTTATGTGATTTATTCCGACAAAATCACACGTCAGAGTGTGCTGTACTCCTTCCTTTCTTATTATGGTGAAAAAACAAACAATTCCACTGCCAACACACTGCAGTTGAATTTATTCTAATTTAGTGGGACCGCAGTGAAAGCAGGCACACACACACACACGCTACAAGATGCGTTAAAGTCAGGGTTGTTAATCTGCTTCAAAAACATTTGATATTTTTGTTGAAATTATCATTACATCCCAACAGCAATCAATGAATCAAATGCTCTGACAAAAAAAAAGAAAAGAAAAAAAGTGGTCCCAATAGCCATGTTTATTGTTTACGTTCGTCATGATTTAGGGGGAGTGGCTTTGAAGGGACAGGCTGTTGTTCCTGACTTTCTTGCTAGATTTAGCAACTGTTGTAGCTACTTTCCATAGAGAAGAGTTGGCTTCAATGACATATCTTCTTTCAGACAGATTACTGAGTGTGTATTTTACGACTATGCCTGTGTGCGTCTTTTCAGAAAACTATTACAAACATGCTTATTCTACATAAACTATAGAAACGAAATTAACTATTAAAGCAATTCAATAAATTTGTTTATGATTTTCTTTGGTAACTCTGTCATATACAGATAAACAAGGATGAATGCTGGGTAATATGTGTGTTGATGTAGTCCAATGTCAAGTCTCTATTCGATCACACTGACGAGACGACATGATACACGGTGGCTAGTTTGCAAAAATCGGGCAAGACTCGCAATCTGCAGGCTGAGCGAGCAGTCATTCCTTTTCAAACGTAAAAGCGGCACTATGTAGCTAGGAGCCCGTCAGGACAGCGTGCACCGGGGCCCATCGGAACTATCTTACACCACTGGTTCTGAGTCCACGTGTGTGTGCTAACAAAGAACTGAGGAGAGACTGAGGGACTGAGCTGGGCGGTTACAGTGTGTGAATATTTTGCACCGCACTTCCAAGTCTAAATACGCAGAGTCCACTTGCAACAGTAGCTTGGATGTCCTGGACCACAGCTGTCTATTCTGGTTATGCAGCATGCTGCTTGCTTTGAGAAATATCTTTATTAATTTGAGTAGACTTTATTTTCTCTTGGAAGGTTTATGCCCCTACTCAAATGAAAAATGGATGTATTCAATTAATTTTATAGCCCAAAAATCACAGATTTGCCTCAGAGGGCTGCAGGATTAAGACACACATGGTCCCGGTCTTTAATCAGTCCGTTTCTCACCTTGAGGAGTGTTCCCCCTGCGAGGGCTCGAACTATTTGCCCGGATACTCTTGCTCACCATCGCCTCGGGAGCATCCTGCCTCCTCTCCTCCTTCTTCGACTCCTTGTCTCCTCCGCCCTCAAGGTGGTCCGCCTCCTTCGGCATGCTTGAGTCTGCATGATAACAGATGTATGTTTGAAGTTGCAATCAGCAAATGCAGTAAAATCAATTGCAGTACAGGCAAAATCTTAGGTGCAAGTTACTGTAACAGTTTTATTGATTTTTTTTTTCTCCTTCTAGCTAGACATGCAGTATTGTTACATCAATTAACAGCATATGTAATGTGATGGGCTTTTGTTGTTGTTCCTGTCCACACAGAAGGAGATGAGGAGGAGAGATTGTTGTGATCTATTAGATGACATCACCTAGGCTGGTAGGGGGGAGGGGGACAGGAGCCAGTGGGCGCAGTGCGATGCTAGGCAGGCTGACTGAGATGTGGTGAACACGACAACAAAGCCTCATGGCACCGTGGCTGTCATTGAAGTCAACGTTACTAACCTTAAGCGGTCGGAAGCCCCGAGGAAAGAGACGCGTTAGCTGCGAAGCTCAATTTATCTACCGTTAGCTTTGGTCTCTCTCTCTCTCTTTCTCAACAAACAACAAAGCCTGAATGACAACAGCTACTCCTTCACAGCGCGGCCACAGCGAAATGATCGCCGTCACCGACGTATTCACAACTCCACCACTACCAGACAACCTTCAGCAGGAGCGAGGCGTTCGTTTCATCCCAGACGGCTCGAGCTCAGTGATGTCGCAGCAGCCTTTCCTTCGATGGGTCGCCGCTAAACCGAGCCGACCTCCTTCCTGTATTGGGTGGGGCTAAACGTGACGTAGGAGCCGAGCCCACTCTCTCGCGCACGCACACGGACACCCTCAATGAGTCATGATTTCGACTGGCAAGGAAGGCAGATAAAACTTGGCAGCAGTATGGAAATGTGTCACGCAATGTATTTCGAAATACTTTGTGTGTTTGTGCAGATTGCAAATGGCGCGCGTTTACATGTCTGCCTTTGTGATCTATGAGTTTCTCTAAAAGTAATTAAAGGTTGGGTTCAATTCACCAAGTTAAATACTGCGGTCAAGTGGTCCGTCATCCGCAGAACGTTGGTCACGTCAGCCGGCGTTTGAAATGTAATGCGCGTCTATTCGTGGTGCTATGGTACGGGTGCTTGGATAGCCCCAAAAGCCCGGAAATAGACCTATATTTCATCAATAATTTGCCCAATTTTTTAGAAAACGTCATTTTGTACATTATATGAAATCCAACAATAGTAAAATCTGAAATTACACTGCTGTATAATCTTTAATTGAAAAAGACACCAGTCTTGTCAAGGCTAATTAGAGGTAAGCAGTGTGATAGGTGCAACTCAAACTTCACTCAATCAATCATCCTCAGGTGCACAGTCCGAGCCAACCGCTTTATGCAAACATAGATGAAACCACTGGAATATAGTTTTGTATTAGTACTATTTGTTTTTTCGTGCTCTGAACTGATATCCCCCTTACATTACGTTTCACGTAGCAGTAAAATGTCATTAATTCTAGGGCATATCCTCACGTGTACTATCTTTCCAAAATCCACCCAAAAGGGGTTTGCACCTGTGTCTTTGCACCCAAGTGGGCCCTACAGTGCACTCTTCTGTTTATTTGATGGTAAATGCTGGGGGTCATTGTTTCCTATTGAACTGGGTCTCCACCATACAGTTTCATTTTTGTTAATGAGAAGGCAGTTATATTAGCTATTGTACACCAGTGGCGGGCCGTCAGGGCCTGCAAGGCCTTCTCTGCTGGCCTAAACAGAATCACAAAGCTATATCTATTTTATAATTTAATAATTTTTCTTAAATATACTACATGTATTGTAATTTATAAACATATATTTCACATTATCTTATTTTCTCATTGCACAGCTACTGTTTTCCTCAGTTGCTCTGCTTCCAGTGCAGCTTGTTTTAAGTAGAGCTTTTATCCAATCAGATTTCACCTCTGTGTCTCTAGGTAAGAAGACAGGCCACAGGCCTGCAGTCTCTGAAGTGCATCCATGTGCAGTTTAAGTGAATGGGGACGATATTGTTGATTGGCATAGTGTTCAACCAATCAGATCTTTAGTTTGACATGTTGGGCGTATTCTTTGACACGTCAGCACCTGCTAGCCGGCCTATAATGACGTCAGCATTACATGCAGCTCATGTGCAGGTGCAGCTCTGCCGCAAGGTGCAGCGTGTGCTGTGATTGGTCAGTGGGCGAGCACGTGACTAAAGTGAAACGTATGCTTGCTGGCAGAACTGAGGTTGTTAGCAGTCAGAGTTGAAGTGGAAAGATATGGAAGAAATGATGTCATTTTCAGTTTTTTTTTACTTAGCTTTGTTTTTTTAACATCAAATGGCGGAAGGAGGAGAAGCTGATTTAGTGGCGGAGTTACTGGGAACACCTTTCTCAAGAAGGACATTTCCGGACAAACTGGACATTGTAAGAAAAGGCTTTGTGCGCCACTTTCAGTCTGCAAACTAAAGGTATTCCTGGCTGACGGGGTCGGAGAAGAGCTGCAAATTGTATTGCTGGGAATGCCTGTTATTTGCGACTGAACGTCTTGGTGTATTTGGTAACCTGAGCACTGCGGTCATGTGGTCCGTCATCTGCGGAACCTCGGTCACGCCAGCCGGCACTTGAAATGTAATGCTCGTCTATTCGAGGTGCTACAGTACGGGTGCTTGGATAGCCCAAAAAGCCCCGAAATAGACCTATATTTCATCAATAATTTGTCCAATTTGATATAACAAGTCAAAAACAACGTCATTTTGTACATTAAGTGAAATATAACAATAATAAAATCTGAAATTACACTGCTGTATAATCTTTAATTGAAAAAGGGCTCGGAAATTATAATATTACCTAATAATCATCTTTGATCTCTAAAAAAACATTTCCTTCATTGGTTAGCTAAAATTTCCATTGGAGTTATGTTCATGATGACCCCATGTATCTCCATGTCAAATGTAATGTAATATTACTATACAGTTTTTGAGAAAATTTGATGTAAAGTCAGCTCAAATGACATTTTGATATTTATAATTTCCCTATATTTGACATTTTATAAAAATGAATCCTTCGGAGGTTATGTCAATATTTCCATGGATTCTTGTTTATGACGACCCTGACTATGGACATGATTATTGTCTTAAAATATTACTGTACAGTCTGTGAGAAAAGTAGATGTAAAGTCAGCTCAAATGACATTTTGATATTCATAATTTCCCAATATTTGACATTTTATAAAAATGAATCCTTAAGAGGTTATGTCAATATTTCACTGGATTCTTGTTAATGACGACCCTGACTATGTACATGATTATTGTCTTAAAATATTACTGTACAGTCTTTGAGAAAATTAGATGTAAAGTCAGCTCAAATGACATTTTGATATTCATAATTTCCCAATATTTGACATTTTATAAGAATGAATCCTTAAGAGGTTATGTCAATATTTCACTGGATTCTTGTTAATGACGACCCTCACTATGGACATGAATATTTCCATGAAATATTACTGTACAGTTTTTGAGAAAATTAAAGGCAAAATTAACTCAAATGACATTTTGATATTCATCATTTCCCCATATTTGACATTTTATTAAAATGAATCCTTAAGAGGTTATGTCAATATTTCACTGGATTCTTGTTTATGACGACCCTCAATATGGACATGAATATTGCCATGAAATATTACTGTACAGTTTTTGAGAAAATTAGATGTAAAATCAGCTCAAATGACATTTTGATATTCATAATGTCCTCATATTTTAAACTGTTAAATAAAGATATTGACAGCATAAGATAATCCTTTATACCTTTTTTAACAGTTCCTTAAGAGATTCTAGTACATTTTCAATGGATTCTTGTTCATGATCACTCCGACTATGTCCATTAAAAATCCCATGTAATTTTGCTGTATGTCTAATGTTTTGATTGTCTATATTATTAAGCTTAGTAAAAGCCTTGGTCTTTTGTGTCATTTTGGACATATATAGCTCTACCTCCCTCTACGTACCTCCTTAGTGTGGTGGTGATCAAAGGCATTGTTCTAAAACTAATGTATTTGGATTCGGATTCAGTTGGAACACATGCGCAATTGTCAAGTTTCAAAGAAAAACTTTTAATGATAAAAACACAACATGAAATGCAAAACATATTTGACCACCCTCTTCACACAGACAGATATAGCAAGGGGGCATATAAAAAGAGACAAAAAACATAACAAATACTGTATGTGGATTTAATTGTTGCACAAACAGCATTTCCAGTCTTTGTTTTTTATTTTTAAAAGCAGGTATTTTTCCATCTGCAGGCTATCGGCATGGAACCATCTGTTACAGCTGTCACACTGAATCTGAAAAAGGACAAAATTGAAAAAACTTAGTAAAGACAGACTTCAAACAGGAATTCACCCCAAAAGAAAACTTTATTTAAATTTGAAATTATTTTCATCATTTAATCAAATGGGACATTGTTATTGTCATGGTCATAGCTTTTACAATGTTGTTTTTATTGATTGACAATCAACAATAGGACAGGTCCTATATCTGAATTTGCCAGCTGCCATGGTGCAAATGCAAGGAAAAGAGCAAGGCAGAGTATATGGACATATCAGAGTGGCTTGGTGCAGATGATAGCAAGTGTTCCTTGAGATTGTGATGGACAAGGAAGCCTCTTTGTCCTATGTATTTAGTTAATTTGAAATTGCACACATATTCCTGGAAACTCAAAAGAAGGTACACCAATCTTGTTTGCATTGCCAAGATTAAAACAAGAGGTGCCCTAGTGTTAGAGGAGTAAACCGCAATATATCACTGATATGACTCTGAATGGCGAACTTTGTTACATGACATTCCCATTCTCTCTCTACCCTCATTTCCTGTCAGCCCTCTACTGTCCATTCTCAATTAAATCTACAAAATGCCAAAACAAAAACTCAAATCCATTAACAAATGCACAAATACAATTAACTACAACAACACCTTACCCATTCAGTGATAGCAGGTCCTGGAGTGGGTAGCTTTGTGGCAGAACACATGGCACAGTTGTTTTCGATGTCAAAAACTAATTTAGAAACATTTTAGATCTTTACTAGTACAATATCACAGTATCTCCAGAACGCTCTCTTCAGGTGTAGTCTCCAGGACGCTCTCTTCAGGTGTAGTCTCCAGGAGGCTCTCTTCAGGTGTAGTCTCCAGGAGGCTCTCTTCAGGTGTAGTCTCCAGGACGCTCTCTTCAGGTGTAGTCTCTAGGACGCTCTCTTCAGGTGTAGTCTCCAGGAGGCTCTCTTCAGGTGTAGTCTCCAGGACGCTCTCTTCAGGTGTCGTCTCCAGGACGCTCTCTTCAGGTGTCGTCTCCAGGACGCTCTCTTCAGGTGTCGTCTCCAGGACGCTCTCTTCAGGTGTATTTCTCAGATTTTCAAGTATCTGCTCGTCCTCCATCATCTCGGTCTGGTCTTTAGGCTCACGCACTGATTGTTGCAAGTCATTCTTTAAGATGCAGAGTTCCTCTTGCTCTTGCTCCATCAAATTAATGTCGATGGGTTGTCTGGTTATAATTGCATCTTTAGACCTGATTTGTTCCTCATTCTCAAACCCTTTGTACTGAAGCTTTAGCAACGTTTTCCCCAGTTTTTCATTCTTGTCACTTTGTTCAGCCGCCAGAGACTTAAGGTGACTTTCAATTTTTTCATGCTCCTGCAGATAATCATCTAGATTATAATGCTTTGCATTCATTGCTTCTATCTGAGAGTCCTGCAGGGCCGGTACCTCATTTATATTGTTTAAAGATTCCTCCTTTTCTTTGAAATCCTGAAAATTTGCCAAATTGTTGGCCTTTGTTTCTATTTTATTCGTAAGGTCTTTAATTTGGGCTGAATTATTATCCAGAGTCTTCCATAGACTCTCTATAACGTCATTACCATCTTTCCTCAGATAGGTAATTTGAGTTTGGTTTTGAATGTTCAGATCAGGGAGGTGGGCCATCTCAGCATTCAGCCTCTGGTTATTTTCCTCGAGATCACGCACTTCTTCATGCAGCACATAAAGCTTTGCCTGTATTTTCGAAGTTTCTGTAAGAATTATGTCTGTGTCCGACTCAAGCAGGGCCAGTTCATCATTTTTCCCCTCTAGACGCTGCTCAAGATCATTAATTTTGGCCGACATGAAATCATTTGCATGCTGAGCCTCCCATAGCATCTGCCAGTCAGTCATTCGGGCCATATTTATCGTTCTTCCTTCCACTGTACTGGTGTCTCTTGAAAGTCCTTGATAACTAGTTTGGATAAGTAAAGTCTGGGGTATACAGATGCTTTGCCTTTTATCTGGACAAATGATTCTGTCTCTGCTCTTTGTGACGTCCCTGATCTTTGTGGCGTCATGCCTTTCTATGGAGTCTGTTTATGAACTGACGTCATTTGTGACGCTTTGCCTTTGATCTTGAAGAATCATTGCGTCTCTGATCTTGGTGTGACGTCATGCCATTCTATGCGCCAGTGACGTCACCGCAGCTGCGACGAGGCTGTCCCATTTAGAAAACTCCTTCCAATGTAAAAGTACAGAAATGAATAAATAAAAGAATAAATACATGATTGTGCAGCACCGAGGACCGCAAACGCACCACGTTCACCTCCGCGGCCGCCACTATAACGTCACACCCAGGCACCCAGTGGACGGTAGGTTTCTGCAGGGAACACGTTTCCATGCTAAATCCCTTGTGTAGACTAAATTACTATCGCCGGTGATGAGTGATTTATTTATTCATGCTGTGCGTCAGATCACATTCCTGTAAAGTGTGCGATGGTATCGTTAGCCAACATGTTTCTTCTGCAACGTTCTTATGTTCTTGTACTGATTAGAGCTTATCCTCTTCACTTGATTCTAGCCGAGGTTTCAAGACTGTTTGGTCCACACTTTGGAGGGAGAAGGACGACAAGGAGGTGAACTGTGCGCGTGCACAGCTTCATTCGTACACTCACTCTTTCTGTTGTATTGAGGACAAACCGATATGCCAGAGATAGACTTGCTGCTGCAGGACTTGGGGAAACACGTCTTACATTCCAAGGTAAGTCAGGCATCATGATGGACAGACGATGTATTTTTCTTGAATTAAGTTACCTTTCAAAAACATTAACCGTCATTATATTTCAAGTTAGATCGGTTGTTTGTATTATTATCTTCTATTTTCAGGTAGTCATACTGATCCAGATGACTTTAGAGAATTTATTTTAGAGGCATATCAAACACTCAGACAAAGGGCAGGATTTGAGTTGCTCAAAATCTCTGGAACAACACGGTGGCCAACTGATCATCATACCATGTCCCAATGAGGGTTACCATGTGAGACATTTGAAAGATCCACAAACACAGATTGGTCATGCTACAATTTTCATCCGACCACTCCAAAGAAACCTGAATCTGGACCCTGTAAGATCCTCACTTTTAAATTGGTGTTCCCATATGAAAATGGCAGAGTGTGAACAGTTACATAAGTATAGCTTGTGTTACATTTTAAAATGATCTTGTTTACAGGCATGTCAACCAGAATACAGTTAATGAGCTAGTTGGACCACCTCAGAAATGTGTGACGTGTGGAGAGGAGTTCCCTTTGACAGGAATCAAGGCTCACAGTGATGAATGCGTGAGGTATCGCTCTACAGAACTAAAACGTCACATTTGTCAAGCACTCAAGGAGTCGTACATCAGACATTAAGCATTAGGCTCTGGAGTCTGCCAAAAGATGTAAAGCATTTTGAATGTGGATGATCCTGTATGATCCTGAATATTGGTCTTGAGGGAAAGTTGAATTTGAATGGATTTATTCTATTCTATTTATATGACCATTCTTTTCTAGTTGCAGTGTTTTTGTGAATGTGTAATGTAATATAAAATATACTGGCCCCAATAACAAAACGTGCTTCTCTTTACCCAAGACCATCACAGAGCAGTGGTGAGGTAGAAATTGTGGTGACCACAGAAAGTGCCTCCTGAAGTGAAGGTAGATTTGTGAGCATGTTGACAAGACTACAGGGAAGTGAGACAACAAGGGCCAGCAACACAAACTACTGCGTGCCACCTCAGGGACATGTGGCTGCTCCTGAGATAGTTGACCTAGATCCCATGAGGAGAGAGGCTTCTCAGGTGTGTTACATCATTTAAACATTACATCATTTATTGCAATAAATTGTTGCTCTCTACATATCAATTCATCCAGTATTAATTGGAATAATTTAAAAACTTTTTTTAGATTGGAAAATTCTTTCAAATCCCAGTGAGGCAGCAAAGAGATTCAAAGAAGACATTTTAAGCCAGCATGCAACTGGAAGATCATTCTATCTTACCATGGATTTTGGAGACAGTGCAGAGGACAGTCCTTTCTTTTTATAAGAGGGCTAATGTTGAGTGGGCTTGCCCCTTGACATGCACACTCAAGGGTAAATTGGTTACACACGCAAAACTAAAGATAACAAATGATCATATATTCATTTAACTGATGTCTGTACTGTGTATTTAGCTTTTTAAGGAGATCCAGCAATTGGTGATGGCGTGACTCTCCATCTCTTTGCAACCATCATGTCCAAACTTCAGTATGGTTTTGAGATGAATTTTGGTAAGTGAATATTCACTTTGGCTGCTGGCTGGTTGTCAGCTATCGGGCTCTGTGTTTGGTTTGCACCAGTTTACCACAGACCACAGATCAGTCTCTACTTACCCAGAGAATACCTAAAACCTTAAAAAACAAACAAATGTGACGCAGCTGCTGTGGCCCTGTAGGTTTCTACAGGATCACCCAAAGTATTCAGTGGCTGATTGATATTTCCTTACTAATTCTGTATGAAAGTTTGAATATATACGTCCTTTACATTCTGCACTATCAATGTTCTTTCACTTTTCTCTTTTAATTGAAGTACCAGGAAGAACTTCTTTTTGAGGGGGAACAGGATCATCTGATTCCCTGCACTTGGCATCACCTTTTGGAGAGTGACTTCTCTGTTGTTGCTGGCTGAATGATTGCTCATTCATTCCTCCATAGTGGGCCATGCCTTGGAGGACTCAGCCCAGCTATCCTGCATGTGCTCTTTGGTGGATCCCCAGAAGAAGCCATAATAACTTAAGGAGTGTGCTGACCTTGACATCCGTGAGACAATCAAAGTGGTACAATACATTTTTCCAGTAAGATTTTAATGATAAAAATTCGGGGCAAGGACAATAAAAGTAATACCTGATGTCAGAAATTTTTCTCAGATATTTATAATACCACAATCACATAATTTACTAATTTAAACCAGCAGGGGGTGCTGAAGCAATATTAAAACCATAAACGTAAATACATTTCTTTAAAACATGTCATTATAGTGACAGATGTCATCATGTAAAATGTGTTTTTAGAGCAAACACAGTTTTAACAGGTTCCCAACATGCTGTTTAAAAGGGATACAAAATGACATTATTTGGGATGTGGTTTGAGACCAGTGGGTGTCAACCGCGTGATTGATAGTTATTGACAAGTTGTCCTTTCCCTATTTGTTGTATCAAATCTGAATATTATGCAAGTCTTGAAAAATCAGGAATTCTAATCTATTCTAATTCTAATTGTCATTATTAGCTGGAGGGTACAGCAGATTTGTCACCTGAAGAAAATAACCTAATCAATGAGTTGGCACTGTCATGGGATTTGCCTGCAGTCACATCTGACAACAGAAGATGGCTGCTGGACAAACTGCTCCTCCATGCTGTGAGTATTCTGATCTGTACTTAACAGATCATACAAACCAGACCGACTAATCAGAGTTGAAGTTCTGATGTAGGACAACATTTTGTCTTTCACATTTTGTCTTTTTTGTGACATACACAGATAGATGTTGATGAGTTTATTCAGTAATGCTAATTAGACTATTAGTGAAAGATTAGTATGGCTGCTTTGCTTTTCTGTTGTGATGCAAATGTTTTGCAGGTCCTTGGAAGAACCTCAAGACAAGTGAAACAGTTACGAAGGGGTTAAAAGAGACACCGATCTGGCCTTTGCTAACTGAGAGGAAAGACACAATTCCCCTCCTCTTTACAAGAGCATCTGATGTACAGTGCACACCACAGGTAAGTGACCCCATGATGCTCAGTCAGAAACACTCTGAACTCACACAAATGACTTTCTCAGAAATGACGTGTGTTTTCTACCCTCTGGCAGCCATTGGTTTCAGTTCATTATAATAAACCTGCAAACGTGTTGCATTGAAATGATCACAGTCAGCATTTGATCTCTTTTTTTTAAAGTTAAACCTACATCACATCACTGCATGAACAAGCACTGCTGAAACATGGTCGTCCTGAAGTCCTTGCAAGTTGAGTTTCATAGAAATGAACTGACACTAATTGCTGCCTAAAAGGAAGGAAACCAATTAAAAAAACATGTTGCCATGCAAAAACCTCCAGTATGGTTCTTTAAAATAACAACTGTGTCCTGATCGAGTTACAATTTGGATTATTAGAATTGAAAATGTCTCATTTTCTATTCTGCTGTTTATCGTGCTTTCTGTTCTCTTGTTTGTTTGGAAACACAAGTGTTAACTGATCGTATAAAATCAATCCGTCAGATGGTCTTGGAGAAGATAAAGTGGCCAACAGAGGATGAGGATGAAGACGGTGATGTCTCTTTGGAGGATACATGTCGGATCACAGGATTCCTTCGCACATTTATTGAGGACGGTAAATGAATAGAAACTTTTAGTTGTCTTGTATCACTAAACCTGCATATAATCTCAACCCTCTTCCCACGAAAAGGCTGGGAACCTGCCCTTGTTGTTCTTCGTCGGACAACATCTGCGAGGGTTACGGGGGGGTGCATATACACTCTGTTTATCATGGTTAGATCTCCGAACCATCCGTGGGGAAAGAGCTCTATCCATTCAGCTGAATTATGATTGAAGTGTCTGTTCATTAAATATGTTTTTAATACTTTAAGAAGTTCCATCGTGATTATTTCTCACAGAGAGGTTAAAAAGATTTTTTTCCACCACACTATGAATTCTCAGCAGCACTAACAACCCAAAGCACAAATTGAGTAAAATAATTATTTTTAAATCGCATTCATGATTGATGTAACAAATTCCTTCTCGGCAGTTAAAGAAAATACCTAGTTGTTCATTTAATACCATGATCCTTGCACTACTGGTCAGTTTGTTTAGTTGTTCATTTAATATACTGTATACTATACTTGTATATACTGTGCATTTTTTGCATTGTTATTCTATTTTATCTTATTTTTTATTATTCTATTTCTTCAAATTTAATATCTGCTCTGCTATTTTATTGTACAGTATATATTGTGCATTTCCATACGTAATATTTTACTCTGTAAATTGCTGCTGCTACAAACTAATTTCCCCCTGGGGATGAATAAAGCTTATATCTATCTATCCAAATATTGACTTTTCTTTTTTTGGAAGCGTCTCCAAGCATCCTTGGGAAACTGGTGCAGTTGTGGATCGGATGGAATGTGCTTCCCAGACACCAGCTGGATATTAACGTGGTGGAGCTGAAACTTCCAGGACATTACAAAGACTACTGTAACTTTGAAAGAGACATTCTTGCTGCTATTTGTAGCACTGGGATTGGATTGGTCTAGGGCAGCGGTTCCTAAACTTTTTAGGCCACGCACCCCCTTCTACATCCCGACCGGGTTCACGCACCCCCAATCCCCCACACCTTCAAAAAAAGAAGAAGCAACAGAGGCTATTTATAGCCGCATAGAAATCGGACCAATGAGAGAACAGTTTGCTCGCGCGTGGCGTTTGTTTACAATATTTAGTCCGCTGTTAAATGTTGCAGTGTGAACACAAACCAAACAAAGGGGCAACTGCAACATTGTATCATATTAATCCCTGAATCAGAACAAAGCAAACGAACTGAAGATGTGAAAACGTCCTGAAACACTGCAACAAAGTTTCAATAAATTTCAGTTACACAAGGGCGTCACTTTGAAAGAGCAATAAGGATAGCGAGGACACACGCACAGGCTCAGAGGCAGATTGCATCACATTTAATTTACAATTAACCACACATAGAATGAGACTGCAGTTGTTTTTGGCTGTTTTGTAACTCCTCCAATTTCGATATAAAAAATGTAAGGGGCTTTTGACTACTGCGGTCAAGTCAGCAGACACTCAGATCTCCGTGGTCAACTCAGCAGACACTTAAATTGTAGTGCACCTATACCCTGACAATTTACGGTAAACGCAACCAAACGGCACAGGACGGGAGCGAGCGAAGGATTTTTGCAAAGTTAGCGGAAAGATTAACGTGAAAACGTCCGGTTTTCTACAGACGAACATCCGGTTTTCAAAATAAGATGCCAACAAAGTATACATATTGCATAATGAAATGAGATTAAATGAATTATATTCCAATAAGTATAAAAAAAATGATACCATCATCTCGTGAGTTAAAGGGAAAATACACCTAAATTGTGCGTAAAGTGTCTTTATTCTTTGATTTGAGGGTTGCTGGAAATTAATAATACCTGACTGACAGTCAATTAAGATATTTTACGAAGCAAAAACTCTGAACTGAATTTATATCTTCAAATGGCAAATTTCTGAAGTTTTTAAGGTGCTATGAAAATGTTTTTCTCAACAATTCCCCACAATGACTAATGCATATATGTTCAGGACAAAAAAAGGCTAATATCACAATATTTGAGCTGCTACAAAAATATTTTTCTCAATAATTCCATACAATGACTGATGTATATGTAATCAAGGCATCGTTGACTCCACCCATTGAGAAAATAAGACATTTTGACTGTACCAATTAAGAGATATTTCAAAGTAAAAGTCATACATTTGAATCGAGAAACTATCTAATAAATGAATATTTGAAGTGTAATAAAAAGTATTTTCTCAATAAGTTCAGACAATGACTGATATGGATGCGTTGAGGATGCGTTGACTCCACCCATACTGAATATTAGACATTTTTACTGTCCTAATTAGGAGATATTTCAAATTAAAACTCATACTGTACATTTGAATTGAGAAAATATCTAATAAATGAATATTTGAAGTGTAATAAAAACAGTTTTCTCAATAAGTCCAGACAATGACTGACATGTATGTGTTGAGGACATCGTTGACTTCACCCATACTGAAAATTAGACATTTTTACTGTCCTAATTAAGACATATTTCAAATTAAAGCTCATATATTTGAATCGAGAAAATATCTAATAAATGGATATTTGAAGTGTAATAAAAAGTATTTTCTCAATAAGTCCAGAAAATGACTGATATACATGTGTTGAGGACATCGTTGACTCCACCCATACTGAAAATTAGACATTTTTACTCTACCAATTAAGCGATATTTCAAAGTAAATGTCATACATTTGATTCGAGAAAATATCTAATAAATGAATATTTGAGGTGCTATAAAAACTATTTTCTCAATAAGTCCAGACAATGACTGATGCATATGTCTTCAAGACATCGTTGACTCCTCCCATAGTGAAGATGAAACATTTTTACTGTACAAATTAAGAGATATTTCAAATTAAACATACATTTGTACCAAGAAACGGGTACATTTCTGAATATTTGAGGTGCTATAAAAACTATTTCCTCAATAATTCCACACAATGACTAATGCATATAAGTTGAGGAAATCTTTTACCACACATATACAGAAAATGAAAAATCGTTACTGTGGTAATTAAGAGATTTTTTAAAGTAAATGTCCATTAAATTAATGGACAAATTAATTTGTTCCAAGAAATATCCAATAACTGAATATTTGAGGTGCTATAAAAAGAGTTTTCTTTATAATTCCAGACAATGACTAGTGCATATGTGTTCATGACATCTCTAACTATACTAATACTGAGAATCAAATATTTTTACTTTCCCAATTAAGAGATTTTCCAAAATATAAGTCCTTCTTTTGAATGTTCAAAAGTTCATTTCTTAATATTTAAGGTGCTATAAAAAGGGTTTTCTTAATAATTCCAGATAATGACTGATGCATATCTGTTCAAGACATCTTTGACTCCACCCATACTGAAAATTAAACAATTTTACTGTACCAATTAAGAGATATTTAAAAGTAAATGTCATACATTTGTACCGAGGAACAGGTAATTTCTGAATATTTGAAGTGTTATAAAAAGTATTCCCTCAACAATTCCAAACAATGATTGATGTATACAGGTGCATCTCAATGAATTAGAATATCATCGAAAGTGTGATATATTTCGAGTGTTTATTTCTTTTAATTTTGATGATTAGGCTATGGCTTACAGCTAATAAAAACCCAAAATTCCGTATCTCTACTACTATCTACTATTACCACAGTAAAAATATTTAATTTTCTGTATATGTGTAGTCAGAGATTTCCTCAACTTATATGCATCAGTCATTGTTGAATTATTGAGATAATAGTTTTTATAGCACCTCAAATATTCAGAAATGTACCCGTTTCTGGGTACAAATGTATGACTTTTAATTTGAAATATTTCCTAATTGGTACAGTAAAAATGTCTAATATTCAGTATGGGTGGAGTCAACGATGTCCTCAACACATACATGTCAGTCATTGTCTGGACTTATTGAGAAAATACTTTTTATTACACTTCAAATATCCATTTATTAGATATTTTCTCAATTCAAATGTATGAGTTTTAATTTGGAATATCTCCTAATTGGTACAGTAAAAATGTCTAATTTTCAGTATGGGTGGAGTCAACGATGTCCTCAATACATACATATCAGTCATTGTCTGAACTTATTGAGAAAATACTTTTTATTACACTTCAAATATCCATTTATTAGATATTTTCTCAATTCAAATGTATGAGTTTTAATTTGAAATATCTCTTAATTGGGACAGTAAAAATGTCTAATTTTTAGTGTGGGTGGAGTCAACGATGTCCTCAACACATACATATCAGTCATTGTCTGGACTTATTGAGAAAAATATTTTTGTAGCATCTCAAATATTGTGATATTAGCCTTTTTTTGTCCTGAACATATATGCATTAGTCATTGTGGGGAATTATTGAGAAAAACATTTTCATAGCACCTTAAAAACTTCAGAAATTTGCCATTTGAAGATATAAATTCAGTTCAGAGTTTTTGCTTAGTAAAACATCTTAATTGACTGTCAGTCAGGTATTATTAATTTCCAGCAACCCTCAAATCAAAGAATAAATACACTTTACGCACAATTTAGGTGTATTTTCCCTTTAACTCACGAGATGATGGTATAATTTTTCATACTTATTGGAATATAATTCATTTAATCTCATTTCATTATGCAATATGTATACTTTGTTGGCATCTTATTTTGAAAACCGGATATTCGTCTGTAGAAAACCGGAAGTTTTCACGTTAATCTTTCCGCTAACTTTGCAAAATCCTTCGCTCGCTCCCGTCCTGTGCCGTTTGGTTGCGTTTACCGTAAGTTTCAGCGTATAGGTGCACTACAATTTAAGTGTCTGCTGAGTTGACCACGGAGATCTGAGTGTCTGCTGACTTGACCGCAGTAATTGAACGCGCGTTCTCGTGCACCTGGATTTGCATACAGAAACGCCCCGCCAGCTCCTTATAAGGGCATGCAACTGAAGAGACGTGTGCACAATCGACAGACTCCACAGGCAACGCGAAAGCAACTTCAGACTGATTAAAATCATGTCAAAGCGGAAAGCGAGCATCGGTCGAGTAAACTGAGACCTAACTTCACCGGTGCAGAGGTGCAGATACTGTTGCAGAATGTAGATGTGTCCATTCTATTCCACTGTGGCTATATCCACGCGATTGAGTATAGTGCTTATTTATTTATTCACTTACATTTGCAGTGTTCGTGTAGTGCTTTTGTTTATTTTATGATATCACGATGCGAATGAGAATCATGATTATAAATATGAAACGTAATTGTTAATGATACAAATATTCTCGTCTTTATTATTGCTATAATTATTTAAATCCAAGCATGTCTGTGGAGTTGATGTGAACGTAATCACCAACGATTTCTCACAAATTCAGCCCTTCCCACTAAATGCCCCTTCTAACACGGAGCGGCTCCGTGCATCTAGTGGTTTTTTGAGGAATTGCATATAAGAAAACTCTGGGCGATTTTACGACTGCTATTTTAGCGTTCTGAAATTCTGGTCTAAGGTCAGAACGAATCCCAGATGAGAAAACTTTCATGAATGCCAAATTTGTCCCGAAAACCGCTAAAGTGGAGTTCAGAAGAAATGTCTTCCTAACTTCTTCTTAACTGCGTTTGAGAATGAGGCCCATTATGCCTGATTGACGTTCGCAAATGTCGTCACCATGGTGATAGCCTGGCGTAGTTGGCAGTTAGCGAGCATGGCGGAGGCTCCATGAAAGAAGGCGAAAACTTACCATTTCCATCCAGAATGGGAGGAGGAATTTATTTTTACCTTGGTAAAAGACAAGTGTGTGTGTATGTTGTGTCACAGGCACTGTCTAAGCGAGGGAATTTGGAGCGGCACCACAACACTAACCACCAGAAATTCAAAGACGGCTATCCACCAAAGAGCGCAATCCGCGCCAAGAAAGTGCAAGAGCTGAAAGTGGAGTTGAAGGCTCAGCAGTCACTTTTCACAAAACCCACTTCTCAAAATAAGGCTGCAACTGAAGCGTCATTTCGTGTTAGCCACCTTTTGGCTAAACACAAGAAGGCTTTTACAGATGGGGATTCATTTAAGGAAGCAATGGCCATCACCGCAGAGACTGTTTGCAGCAACTTCAAAAACAAAGAGGACATAAAAGCCGCATTCCGTGCTGTACCGCTTGGTCCTGCAACAGTGACACGAAGGGTCAAGTTACTGTCAGAGGACGTTGGTCAACAGCTGTTGAAGAACTTGTCACTCTGTGAATATTTTTCACTGCAGTTTGATGAATCGCTGGATGTAATGGACACAGCTCAGCTTGTTGTATTTGTCAGAATGGCTTAGTGTTGGGTTTCTCTCTTTCTCTCACACACACCCATAGGCACTTTTCAGACCAAAGGATAGGTTATTCAACCAGCATTAAGTGTCAAATCTGCAGATAAGGAAAGTTCAGTGCACCTCAGGGAAAAAGCAACTTTGCAGTTTTTCCACAAATTACAAATAGAAGAATATGTATATATTAGTGCTGGGCAACGATTAAAATATTTAATCGCGATTAATCGCATGGATTTTTTGCGATTAATCGCAATTAATCGCATTGTTATGGCAAAGTTCAATAATTAATTCAAAAGTAGTGTATTGCGCACTTTTATTTTACGTATTTTAAGTACTGCTATATGAACAAAAGGGCAATAACATTTGGTTCACGAGATGCAGGTAGCATGTTTTATACTTAATGTGAATATAATTCATACTTTGTTGGCATCTTATTTTGAAAACCGGATGTTCGTCTGAAGAAACCGGATGTTGTCTCACGTTAATCTTTCCGCTAACTTTCAAAGTCCTTCGCCGGCTCCCGATCTGTGCCGTTTAAATGCGTTTACCGTGAATTTCAGCATATAGGTGCACTAACATGTAAGTGTCTGCTGAGTTGACCACGGAGATCTGAGTGTCTGCTGACTTTACCGCAGCGATGTCCAGTAGTCTCCAGGGAGAGCAACAGCTGGTGCAGCTTCTCTCTTTATTTCTGCCCCCCCCTCGACCAGAAGCGGAAGTCGCCTTTTCTCTATGGCAACCCTGAAGGGACATCATATCTCCAATACAAAACGAAAAAAACATGAGACAGTCTGTTACAATAATAATAAATTAAAAATACTTACCTGTTTTTTTGTTGTTGTTGTTTTTTAATTATTATTATTATTTTTTTTTTTTCCCATCTCAAAAGGCTCAAGGACACACACACACACACACACACACACACACACACACACACACACACACACCTGACTATAGGATGTTTGCTGGCTTTTATCCCACTGTTCTTGTCATCCTCTTGTTATGTCTATGTATTGTCTCTTGTCTTTCAATAAAAGAAAAAAAAATAATAATAAATTTAAAAAATGCGTTAACGCGCGATAAAATAATTGTCGGCGTTAATTAATGAATGCGTTAACGCGAAATTAACGCGTTAACTTGCCTAGCACTAGTATATATATAAACTTCCTCAAATTCAAGTTTTTTCAAGTGACAAATGAATGTATGTATGTTGTTAAGTGTTTCTGATTTTTTTTTATTGACCATGATAACATGGTAGGAGGTACAAACAAGATATAATATATTAAAAAAGTGGAACATAAACTTCAGGGGAAAAAAAGGTTAAACATTCTCTAAAAAGTCCCCTAATTTACACACAGCTATTGGCTTATCTGACTGTAATAACAATATGTTCAACCCCATTTCCTCCCATTAATATATTATGCAATTAAACAGGACCACAAACACAGATTATCATACAGTTTAAATAACACATTTTCTAAAACATAATCAGCCAGAAGAGATTTATTCAAGTGTTGTATTGGAATGCATTAGATTAAGTTAAATGTACCAAATAAACTGGCAAAACACTATTTCATTTATTTCAACTTGGTCTGATAGAAAATGATCATTTCAAAATTAAGACTCTGATCCTGAGGAGATGTAAAACGTACGATATGAACATAAAAATCCTTAATTATCAGTTGAATTATTGCATGTTATACTCAAAGTGCCTTCTGTTAAGCTGCTACACCGTGGTGCTGCTATTGAGGAATGGCTGCTCTTTGATCACCTCTTTTAAAGTACACTGACAGTGTCAAGTCATGTGTATACAGTGCAGTATTTGTTTTAATCCTGAGGTAGCACATGAGAGGTGATCATAAAAGGAAAATTCAGGTCCACCCACACCCATAGCACAGAAACTGTACACGCTCCAGTCCAGCAGCCGTGGATCCACCATCACATCGAGAATCCTCTCTCTGCTATCAGGGCCACCGTCAGCCTGTCTCGCATGATCTCCTTGGATGAGTACAAGGGCAGGTACAGAATGGAGTGACATGTCAGAGACCCGGGGAAGTGCTGATCGTAGCGCTGACCACTCTGGACTTGCGTAACTTGAACATTCATCTGGACCTGGTCCATGCCAAGAATAGGAACCCTCCTGTACCCAGTCAGGAACCCTGAAGAACACCCGTGGAGGGAAAGTAGGAAACTTCAAGTTACTCTTTGTCTGTTGCCATCTTTGTGCATCAGCATCATCTGCTTACCTACAGCAGCTATAGTAGTCCCTTTATTTATTTGAATGGATGGATGATAATCAATAACTAGAAAATTCCTAAAGAAATTTTGACAGTGTGGCTTCTACTGCCCGAAGAAATCGCAATATATACACACGCCTATGTTACCGGTAGTGTCATTCAGGTTCAATTGAGATAGCGCTACTCTCTTTTATGCATTTTAGATTCATACTCTTGGATTGAATCTTGTATTTGTGAGGCTTTTATTTTGAAAGGGTGGGACTGGGTGGGTGAGAGAGGGGGAGAGGAGACAGAATCATAATGTTTGACACTAAAATGAGAGGCTTCATCACAAGCATTCCAGTTAGAATTCATTCTGTGGGGCTTTTAATTTGAAATGGGGGGAGGGGGTGAGAGGGGAAAAGTCCTCTAAAAATATCTAAGACCTGAATGACTGTATGATAGAGAGAGACACGACAGACAGAAAGATAGACAGAGAGGAGAGAGAGACAGAGTGAGAGAGAGACAGGCAGACAGACAGTTAGATGGACTGAGTGAGTGGGAGAGAGAGATAGGCAGACAGACAGTTAGATGGACTGAGTGGGTGGGAGAGAGAGACAGGCAGACAGACCGTTAGATGGACTGAGTGAGTGAGTGAGACAGGTAGAGTCCTCTAAAAGTCTCCAAGACCTGAATGACTGTATGAGAGAGAGACACACACAGAGAGAGATAGACAGACAGACAGAGAGATAGAGGGAGAGGAGTGTATGTGCGTGTGTGTCTGTGAGTCTGTGTGTTTATCAACATCACTAATGAGCTCATATAAACACCTGTGTGCTTGAGTGCATGTTGGTGATTGGAGCACCTGTGTGTTAGAGGCTAATTAAGAGAGATTAGAGTGAACATTGATTTTCAACAAAACTACCTGTCAAACATATGCCCTTCATACCAAAACCATGAGACTAATCAATAAAATATGGATGAGTGTAAGTCCGTTGGATTCCACAGACATCTGTGTGAGACAGCACAACATTTCCAAGCTTTTTGGCCAAAAATGGTGTATAAAGAGTAAAAATTGTGGGAGCTGGAGCAATTTGTTCGGAAAAATCACAGAAGATTTTCCTGCTCTGCTCCACTCTGACAGTTATGCTCTCACTCTAGCTCTTAACGAGCTGTGCAATACACACCCATCATAAAATCTGAAACTGACCCAAAATTTTCCTGAAACTTAATCTGTGACTTCATGAAAACTGTGCTAGCTATCAAAATGTCCCTTTGGCTCAATAAAGTGCAGCGTTTTGTCTACGTTTTAAACTTTGAATCATGTTTCTACGTTAATGTACGGCTAGTCAATATGGGCCCAAAGTTAAGTGTTGTTTAGCTCTCTTCACGCTGCAACCCCATTCAAGTCAATGGAGAAATTTTGCTCAGTCTTTGGGGATTTTCGGGAATTTTCGGTGAAACCGCTTGGCAAATCTCTCCGAAAAATAGATAGCACACTATTCCCGATCAGACCGCACGTTTTGCTGTATTTTTCACGCCGCTGTTGGCAACGCTGTGTGAGGAGAAGCGCGGCAAACTTTTGGATAAACCTGATTATTATTAGTAGTAGTATGATTAAGCCCGATGGATAATATACAGTGTGCTTTGGCACAGGCAGTTTTACTGCCTTTTTGCTACAAAGCCACACTGAATAATGATATTAAATATGATTTAGATCTCCACTCACTTCTTAGAAATAACAGTTTTGACTTTTTAAGCACAGGTAACTAATGATGTTAATAATAGCTGCATTCCATTTAGGTGCTCAAGTTCCTGTCAATGCTGACTTACTGGGAGTCTGGAAACAGAGCCATCACTGATATTATTATGGAATATCTGTATCTCAATCTCCTCAAAGCCGGAGATATGGTTACTTTTTAATCACGCGTTTGTGTAGACAACCGGCAGCGTCCTGAACAGAATTGTTTGCATACTTGCCTATGTAGGTTACAACGCGTGTTACTGGAGGATTCCACTAGAGGGCACAACAGAGTTCTCAGACCGTATAGAACTTCTAGATTTGCACGACGTAAACGATAAACATTGCGACGCTCCAGGAGTTTACTATATTGCTATTTCTGCGATCCTGGCTGAAATAGCAATATAGTAAAGTCCTGGAGTGTCGCATACTGCACTGACACTGCCTTATACCGTTCCTGTGCGTGTTACACCTTGCTGACGCTTAGCAATAATTTACGAGGACGTGCACAACCAATGCTCCAAATGGACGCAGGATACGCGAGGCACCCATCATGTCAGTGCAAACACGTAGATAAAAGCAAGTACATCTTTAGAATTAACGCCATAATGGACATTTCTCAAGCCCACCACATTGATGCCAACCTTCTGTGCCAAAGTGGGAATCATTTTTTTTGTGGTGTGGGAATTAATTGTGTGAAAGTAAAGTGGGCAACTGCCTCGGGGCCCCAGATGTACCTCCAACATGAAATACATTTTCCTGTTGGCCTTTTACCCCTCCACTACAATTAACCGTGATGTTGTTTGTGAAAAGAACATATAGGTTTCAACAGCTCACATGCTACATGTTTAATGAAAGGCTTCCACAATGAAAAGCTGTTAATATGAGGTACAGTACTTACAAAGGAAATCTGTCCTCTGGTCTTCAGTCAGTTCATCAAAAACCTCCCAAAACATCTGCCTGGTGTGGTCGCTAAAGCGAAGTTCCCACACTGTGTTCTAATTTCAATAACAATGAAAAAAAGATTGTTGCAATGTTTGACGTGGTTAAAACAAACATGTGATCAGTTGCAGTTGCAGAAAAAACAGGCCGAGCTTGTGTTTGGGACAGTGCGTGTACCTGTTTCAGTTTCGCCCAGTCATACACGTCTTGGCCCACCAGCACTCCCTGCAGCTCCTCCGGCCGAAAGAGCGTCACCAGACCCCGGTCACACACCTGGAAGAAGCCTCGCTTGAACTCCTCAAACACGCCCTCCACGGACGCGCTGAAGGCATGGCTCACGTAGGCATCCACAAACTCCTTCCTGTTTGGCAGATTCAAGTTTAAATTCAACAAACATCTCTCTGAGACGGAGCTGATCTGGGTGCAGGTCACACACACACAACTTTGATTTGAACATTTTTAAAGTCTTACTTATTTAGAACTGTCAGTGGCTTTCCAGGATTTTGGGGGTCAAGGTCGACCTCTGCCCCATCCCAGTTAATCTGTTAGTCAATTTTGAAAGAGGAGGTTAATGATATCACTGCAAAACCTTTAAAATACTGAAATACAGATAAAAGATGCACATTACTGAAAACCTTGCTAGAGTAAAACACCAACCAAAAAACACCAGTCCAGGTCTTCGAGGTCATCCTCTCCATAGTCCAAGACGCACTGCAGACTCCTTAAAAAGGGAGTGAAACAAAAGAACTGAGTGATATTAAAAGAAATACTGAATGGCGTACTGGATTCACAATATTCAGGCATCAATTTAAAACAAACAAAACCGTATTACTAAATGGAGAACAATACTGACTTTCCAACAGCCGGGCTGAATTCCATCAAATCCTGCAGTGTCGGCTCTACACCCAGCAGCTTCTTGAACAGAGCCAGTGGGAAGGGTAAGTGTATGATACTGTTGTTGTACAAGGCCAGTCCACACAGAACACCAAACAGGAAGAAGTTTGTCTTGTCCTCCTCTGTTGTCTGTATTGAGAAACAAGGACATTTGAGGTTGATTGCATTTTGTCCCATTGTTGCTTATCATCATTAGCAAGAAAAATCCACCAAATAAAGTGAACCCCGAGTGTATGGTTCGATGGTCGATGGTTCCCGCATGGGGATTTGAAATCTTACCGTGGAGGGGAACCATGCCAGCGTTTCGGAGTCGTTGAACATGAACATCCCAGATCCAGTTGACACCATTTCATGGAACAAGTGGTGGAAAAGGTCTCTTTTGTAGACGTCTGTGACCTTTGGGTCCTCGTCAAAATAGACCTGAGAGACAAAAAGTTAGAAATAGGCTTAGATGAGATTAACAAAATGATTATACGATTCAATGACATAAGATTAAGTATAAAATGATTTGGCTCTGCTTTAGCCATCAGGTCAAAACGGAATATTTACCATAAGTGGCTTCTTGAAGTCACTGGGATGAGCAGCAGCCAGTTGTTTGAAGGTGCCTTCCAAAAGTGACGCTCGCTTCAGCTTCAGTCCGAAAAAAAGATCTGACGCTAGACGCACTTGAAAAGGCCAACCCACCATTTCCTGGTGTTCTCTCTATAAAACAATTACATCTTTAAATATAATTTTCCTATCTTAATTACATTTTCATGTCATGTAATGTAATGCATTACATGACATCACCATACCTATTAACACATTAAGCAGACACAGAGCTACATTCCCATTCATTTGGAATTGTATTTCTGGTCACCTGGTGAACGTAAGGCAATTCTTACTCTGCTTCTAGCTCAGTTTTGGTCTCCACCAAGTCCTGAGGGAAGTATTAATATTATTAATATAAATATTGATATTAAAGGACAATTCTTGCTGGTGTTGAGGTTGATAAGGGTGGCCAGTGAACCAAACCGGTAAAGCTATGGGCCGTCAAACCTAAACAATGAGCTGAAAGACGCATGTTATTCACTGTCATGGCGAAATTGTCGCCTATATTTTAGGCATGCAGGAACGCTTGCGCACTGCTATGGCGCCGCTTTTGCTTTTGAGTGCGTCTTCCGCGCGTCTACATTGACAACAATGGATTTCAGTGCGCATAAAACGCAGGATGTGAACAGCCCCTCATGTACCTTTAAAATGGGATTGCTGACGTAAATAGGTTGTCAGCAACCACAGAAGGGACTGTGGCTAAGTGGAGAGCAGGGTCATCCTTCAATCAGAGGATCGGCGGTTCGATCCCTGGCTCCGTTAATCGCATGTCGATGTGTCCTTGAGCAAGACTCTTAACCCCAGAATTGCTCCCGTAGCTGTCTACACCTATACGGTGTATGAATGAGTTAGTCTGATAGGCAGGTGGCACTTAGCCCTGCCATCAGCGTGTGAATGGGTGAATGATGACAAGTAGTGTGAAAGTGCTTTGAGTGGTCGGAAAGACTAGAAAAGCGCTATACAAGTACAGTCCATTTAGGTTAAACATTTTGCCCCTTTGTTAAACTTGCTAGGACACCTACTTGCTAACTTTAAAACAAACTATACATAAATAATGCATAATAACAAATGTTGATATCGGAGAATTCCTGACATTCCTTGTTATATTGTTTGTATGGTTTAGTTTGCCAAAAGGCAAAGTTCCAGGCTAAAGTTACCTGAGAGCATTCGGCATGGATGTCAAAAGCCATTTTCTTCGATTTCAGATCCATCACAAATGGGAAGTTACAAAGGACAAGTTGCTGATTATCCATATCCTGAAGAGAGCATATAAGCAATTTACTTACAAAAATGTAAACTTGATGACCACCTCCTCAAATTTTGCTTTTTTTCACCTGAATGGACACTGTATGAGAAGTGACAAACAAAGTGAGAGAGAGAAACCCGTATTTTGTTAATAGTTTTTTTACCTTGATATTTGAATGCCAAATTTGCAGATCCTCTTGGAGAAATGTTTGGCTAATCTCCAAACAAAAAGTTTGTTCTGGGATTCTCTGACGTCCTGCAATCCTGTCGTTGGCCTTTAAAAAAGGTATGTTTAGGAAGAGTGTGAGGGATTGGTCAGCAATGAAAAGCATTTGTAGAACAAATTGAGTAAGGTGGTTGTGGTTTCTGTGTGGTTTGAAATTCACAGGAAAAAAAGCAGATAACGGATACTGACGTTGTACATATACTGGAAGACTAGTAGTATGTTTTCGAGTCTAGAGTCGCGATGAACAGGCTCAGAGGACAGGATCACTGAGAGGGCCTGCTTCCACACCTTAACGTGTTGAACCTTGGTGGAGGGCGGCAGTGAGGACCACCAGTCCCCTGAGGAAGACAACATGGAGATTTGCAGACATTAATGACAGTGAGCGTTTAACAGCTGAGCAGATGTCACAGATATGACTGGAGTCTGGAGTGTGCCACCAGAATAGTTATTGGCAATTATTAGACGCTACTAGTCTGAGATTATAATCAATCAAAACCTTTATAAAATTAACAAAGATGATAAATTGATCAAATATAAATGTATTTAATTAATGCCTTAAGGAACTTTAACTTTGAAAAAAAGTTACAAGAACACTTGTTATTAATTTGAAATTGTAATTAAAATACACAATTTAAACTTTTTGTGTGTGTGGGGGGGCATTAGCAGGTGGACAGACAAGTTACATTCAAAAGCCTTTTTTAAAACGCCATTTTAACACATGATAATTTGATAAAATGAATGATGCATTTATCTTCAATGTACATTTACATAATACATTATAATCTGAGGAGGTCTATAATTATTACACTGGCACTCTCCAGACTCAATACAAGGACACAACTTAATTCAATTAATGTAAACCATCTCATAAAACTGAAAAAGGCGGACTTTGAGCTGGGGTGGGTTCTACTTTTTGTATTGTTAAATTACACAATAGCATCCTGCCCTCCTTCATTCAGACTCCATAGTAATTCACAAATTTCATATCAGCATTATGAAAAATAGCACCGCTCGCTCCATTTCCAATCCTAGTTACTTGCTGTGGGTCTGATGAACACACCATCACGTGATCCTGTGTTTAATGTTAAATGAAGCATCTCAAGCATTCAAACAGCTTTCTCTCATAGTACCTAAGACCTGGAGGCTTCCAGCACAGAGCCTTTGCACAGCGGCGGCGACCGCCTCGGCGAGAGTTGTGCTCGTTCGTCGCAGGTTGTGTCTCTGGATCACATGCAGGAGCTCATTGAGAAGCAGGTGGATTCTCAACCCCTCCACCCCCACTGGCATCTCATCAAGAGAGGGAAGCAAGCGCAGGACAGCAGCCTCGACCTGTTGGGAGCATAAAACTAAATAAATGAGCAGAGCATTACTGAGAGGTTTTGAAAGTATACGGGAAAGCACAATGTCAGTCGCATACCTCTGCCATAACGTGATCCTTCTTTGCCAGTTTCTTGAAAGCATGTCGCGCAAGTGACAAGTTCAAGCCGGAGTACTTTGACGAGGTCTGGAAATGTTTATCTTTGCTATGGAGAAAAAATTCAGAGTGTGAATGTGATGTAATTCAACAGATCCAGAGACGTGGGGATCATGAACGGATGGCGTTTACCTTTGATCAAGGAAGATTTGATTCATGCAAGATGCGGAGGAGAACGTCCTGCGGATTTCCCTGCAAGGTTTTCATTTGGTTAGTCAATAACACTGAGAATAGAGTATTATCAGATTTAACAGGCCACCAGTTATATGCGATAACTGCTACTGCATTGTACTTACCGTTTGATCTTTTTCCATGACTTTGAATTACATACAGTGACCCATTTGTCAAACACATCATTTGTTACATTGCTGGCAGTGGCAGTGCTTAACACCTCATGCGCTTCCTGTGAAAGAAACAAGATAAAGGCTCATATTCGGTGTAGAAAAATGACTGAATAATTGAGGTTAAGGTATTATTACACCTCCCACAATTATGATATGTACTGTATGTATTTGTGTTGGTACCTTAATAGACATGGACGTTGCAAATGAACAGTTTCCTCCTGCGTAGATGTTTCCAATTTTAGGTACATTAGTGGTGTCTGGAATGATAATAAAAAAAAAAAAAGTTATCTCTGTGTCTGAAATAAAAATGGAATCAATTTCGATATTTTAGAAACGTAGTCACCCTGTGTCAGTTGAACCGGTAGCGGCACGGACGGATGACTCTCCTCTCCGTGTCCCAGCTGCCCCTGCGCTCCACACCCGAAAGAGTAGACCCTCTTGGAGTCCGTCAGCACTGTGTGATGCCTGATTGAGATGAAGTTACAACGCAAAACAGTATTTTAATGTCAACAAAGCTTTTTCAGGAGTTTTACAGCCTCCAAGCCTCTATTTCAGACAACAGAAACATTCCTGGGATGTTCTCAAATGCAACAAAAACATTCTCATGGAGATATGCAAAATTTGATTGCCGTTCTCTACCTGCTCTCTGTACCATTTCGAAGTGTTCGAATTCTTGAACAGAGTCTGGCAAACTGATTTGAAAATATTTTTCTAGGTATTACGTGGAATTTTCAGAAAATCCTTGTTATTAATGATACCGGTGGCCATTAAGTGAACTGCTGTTGCTAGCGCAGTGCTAGCGATAACGTTAAGGACCAAGCAAACTAAGGTTGGTAAGCTAGCTGCTACTTAGCTAAGCCACTTAAGACAGTATTTTGTTACATTAGCTACACACTGTCGAGGCTGTAGGGGAGCCATGCTGGAAGTGCATTGGTAATGAATTGGCTCAGAATAACTGTGTAAGAGTTTATAATTGTAACGTACCGTCCACATGCAATCTTGGTGACCTTTGCCCCCCAGAGCTCTGCAACAAGCCGAGGTCGTAGTTCATCGCCGAATGAGTTGTGCCCAAGCTGTCCATATTGACCAGAGCCAAATGTGAACACTGCACCATTCTGAGGAAGCAACCAGACAAACATATTTTAATGTCCCAGCTATGGTTTGTTAGATATTTCCATTTCTGTGGGATCTAGGAAGTTAGTGCTGCGTTTAGGTTGCATTGGTGAGGCACCTAACAGCTTTTTTTGCCAGAGAGCATTTTTTGCGGTCTAACCTTTGTCAAAGTGGCAGTGTGGTCCTTTCCACAGGAAATGTAAATTGTTTTCTTAGTGTTCAGGTAACAAACAGGAGTTGGTGTAGGTCTGTCTATTGGGGAAAAAAATTACATTCTGGTTTACATATAACAGAAATAGTATTAGTAGAGTATTAGATATAAAGATTGCTTTTTTTTCTCTTTTTTACCTGTTGTGTCTCCCAGCCCGAGCTGCCCGCAGTCGTTTCCTCCCCAGCCAAACACGGCTCCGGACACAGAGAGGGCGAAGCTCTGCTCTCCCCCTGCAGCCACCTGGACCAGGGGGAGTGCTGACAGAGATCGGATGTGTTGGGGAGAGTTGGCGCCGGGCTCGCTTCTCCCCAGGCCCAGCTGGCCCCTGGAATCCCGGCCCCATGTATACACCTGACCACCTGTGGAGAAATGACTTTTCTGACACCCTGGCCTGTTTGCCTTTTGTAAACCACAAGTGCCATATAAACAGATGTTATCTTGTACTATGCCGTGATACCAGCCATTATTGGACTTTGAGTCAACCTTTACCATCCTGTCTCAATGCTGGCTGAGATGTTGTTTTCCACCAAGTCAACACAACAAAGGGTTTACAAAAGGCAGTTGTGGGATTCAAACGTTAAAGCAGTGATTACTGGTAGTATGTGACTGATACTATTTTAGACCCCAGGAAGAGTTTCCACAAATATTGTAGGAGCCAATAGCTTTAAGCTTGTACATTAGTAGCAATTTACTGTACACTTCACTGTACCTTTGGTGAGGGCCACTGAGTGCTGGCTCCCACAAGCAACCTGAGACACCGGGATGTTACACAAAGCTTCCAGGGGCCTGAGAGGACAAGAGACAGAAAGAAAACAAAGCTCAAACACTCAGAGCTGACTAGCATGAACCCAAGTGAGGATTTTGTAAGACCAATTGTTGTTGTTGTTGTTGTTGCAAATTCAGGACATCGATTGACATCATGAGATTAGTTTCTCCTTACTTCGGAATGTAAGTGCGAGTTGTGTCCACACAGAGAACTTTTCCTTCCTTAGAAAGCAGTGTGACCACATCATCACCACTAACCACGGCCTGAATCTTCTCTTTACACGTCACAAACTCTGAAAGAGCACAGCAGGTGTATTGTAAGTGATGCAGCTTGTTATACTGTAGGTCACTACTGCGAAAAATAAAACTTATTTTTGCAAGAGCTGGGAAGGAAGTTATAAGACTGATGCTCACTCTGTTTTCCTCTGACTCTCCCCCCATCTTTGCTCTCTTTTGTGCAAATGATGGCAGCATCAGCGTTGCTTTTGATGAAGGCGAGCACGCTGTGACCTGCTGACAGATCCGTGATGTCAAAGCCGAGGTTTAAAAGGTGAACTCCATCGCCTGCTGAGATATTTGAGCCATCTTTCAACCGAAAGCCCTGCTGGCAGTTCTCTCCCCATGAAAACATCTTGGTAAAATGTCTCTGGAGAACCGTCAGCTGCTTTTTATGACTCAGCTCTGTCAGTCAGAAACGAAACTTGAGTGGTTCATTGTGCATACTTTGCTGTGAGCAAAGGAAAACAAAACCTATAACCATGATGAAACGAAAATAACACGCCCAGTGAGTCAGAGGCAGGAGGAGCTCTGTAACTTTAGAGGTTTAAAAGAAAAAACGAAAGTGAAACTGGAGTTGATAGCTGCTGTTTGTGCATGACTGCAGCAGTATTTACACTGTTTGGTGATTAAATAGAGTGAATAGGAATACTGGATACTTGATACTCAACTCAGGGTTAGTTTAATGAAAAGCTCAAATACTGAACATTACTTTGGCTACACTAACAACTTGTCTCCTTATGTCCATTCCCTTCTTCTACGAGGCATTTAGTGCTGTAAAATTGTGGGTGGATATTAATAATTGCAAGAGACTCAGGTCAGCTGGAAAGAAACATATACGTACCCCGTCCAGAAAATGGGTTTTTCTGTTCACCTGATTTAGTATTTTTATCATTTATTTATGTGTAGTTCAAAGGCTGCAATGGCCAATATTAAATAAATGAATAATATTATTCCCAATGCTCAGTTCAAATTAACACTGGCTTGGTAAATTACACTTTTTAATATTTTCCACTCAAGTCTATATCAATAGTTTCATTCATGCTTTTTATGACTCAGCTCTGTCAGTCAGAAACGAAACTTGAGTGGTTCATTGTGCATACTTTGCTGTGAGCAAAGGAAAACAAAACCTATAATCATGATGAAACGAAAATAACACGCCCAGTGAGTCAGAGGCAGGAGGAGCTCTGTAACTTTAGAGGTTTAAAAGAAAAACGAAAGTGAAACTGGAGTTGATAGCTGCTGTTTGTGCATGACTGCAGCAGTATTTACACTGTTTGGTGATTAAATAGAGTGAATAGGAATACTGGATACTTGATACTCAACTCAGGGTTAGTTTAATGAAAAGCTCAAATACTGAACATTACTTTGGCTACACTAACAACTTGTCTCCTTATGTCCATTCCCTTCTTCTACGAGGCATTTAGTGCTGTAAAATTGTGGGTGGATATTAATAATTGCAAAAGACTCAGGTCAGCTGGAAAGAAACATATACGTACCCCGTCCAGAAAATGGGTTTTTTTGTTCACCTGATTTAGTATTTTTATCATTTATTGAAGTGTAGTTCAAAGGCTGCAATGGCCAATATTAAATAAATAAATAATATTATTCCCAATGCTCAGTTCAAATTAATATTGGCTTGGTAAATTACACTTTTTAGTATTTTCCACTCAAGTCTACATCAATAGTTTCATTCATTTGCAAATTTATATAAATTAAAAAGGTTAGGGAGAAAACAGGGAGTAAACTAACATTACCGCCTCTCGGTTGTATGCCACTCAAGGTGCTGTTTGCATCCATGTCTTTTCAAAATTTCATTACTTCAAACTGTCATAATTAGTATATTAATTCTTAGTTATGGCTATTGTGTTCCGTGAGGTCACAGTGACCTTGACCTTTGACCACATCAGTTCATCCTTGAGTCCAGGTGGACGTTTGTACCCAATTTCAAGAAATTTGCTCATTATGTTCCTGAGATATGGCGTTCATGAGAATGAGACGGACGGACAAACGCAAAACAAATACAAAGAGTGGTATAACAGTACACAGTTTAATTGCTGAAAATAATAAGTGAACTGGAAGAAAAAATTGTTTAAATACTGGAATACTGGAATACTTTTTGTGCAACTTGGCCCCAAAATAAAAAACTCTATCACAGTCTTTATTGCCTGAGGAGATGAGACACAAAAGTCACTTAAGATTCCCCTGCAACAGATACAGTTTATACATATACACTATCTATATCCATGTTTTCACTATGAATCAAGCATTTTTTAATGTACATCCACAACACATCTTCATTATAAAGAATATAAAACCCTTCACGTTTGCTAATACACATATTAGCAGTAGCTACAAAGGCTGCTCCTTGTTCAGCCATTTACAAAGTGCTCTATTACAATGTTAAGTCCTCTGTTCAGTACAGATACAGTCACAGCGCAGACCCTCCATCACTTGTAGATTCTTCTATTGTTGCTCAGGGCCTCAGTAAGCTTGGTTTGCATGATCTCCTTGGTTGAGTATAAGGGCAGCTCCAGGATTGAGGAACATGTATGTGTCTGAGGGTAGTACTTGTCATAAGAGAGGTCCCCAACTCCTTTAACTTGGACTGTCATCTTGATCGTTTCCATGCCAAGAATGGGCACCCTTTCGAAGCCAGTCACGAACCCTAGTGGAGGGGAATGTGGTAATCAGTGAGTTTCTTGCCTTTTCATTTATTTTTGTGACATCCTAAGTGTTAAGCTTTGCACGTACAGTATATAGCAGGTCTAGTGAAATAAATTGATAATAAATTGGAATTGTTTTTAAATGTCAAAATCAGGGACAATACTTACAAAGGAAAGCTTTCTTCTGATCCTCAGTTAGTTCATCAAAAACCTCCCAAAACATCTGTATGGTGGGGTGTGGTGGTGTGGTATTGTACACCCCCTCATAACCTGTGTTCTAATTACAGTGAAACAGGCTTGTTACAATTACTTCTGTTAAAGATCATTTTTAGTATTCAAATCAAGCGCGATGCAAGGATGAGGATGCAATAAATCAGTTGCAGAGAAAACTAGAATGCAAAGAGCTCTTGTTTTAGACTGAACCTGTTTCAGCTTTGCCCAGTCATGGAAGTCTTTGCCCACCAGCACTTCCTGCAGCTCCTTTGGTCGGAACAGCTTCACCAAATCCTGATCACACACCTGGAAGAAGCCTCGCTTGAACTCCTGAAACACGCCCTCCACTGATGTATTGAAGGCATGAGTCACATAGGCATCCACAAACTCCTTCCTGTTTAGCAGATTAAAGTTTCATTTCAACAAAAAGGTCGGAGCAGCGAGTGTGTAATCGAAATCCTATCTCTCTGTATTTTCCTGCGGAAGCTTCATTGGTAGCTTCATTTCCTCGTCCACAAAACTTACTTGTGGTATACCTCATATAGACTCGTACAGACTTCAAAATACTACTCACCACCTACAAAGCCCTAAACAACCTGGCCCCTCCCTACCTTTCAGACCTCCTCCCCCTCCACGCCCCAACCCGTTGCCTCAGGTCCGCCGGTGCAAACACTCTGAAGACCATCTCAGCTGCTGCACCTCCCCTCTGGAACGCCCTCCCCATCCACATCCGTGAGGCTCCCTCCCTATCAACATTCAAACAAGCCCAAAACTCACCTCTTCAAACTCGCCTTCACCTGCTAACCCCTGCATCATACCCTCCTTTACATGACCCATTCAGCACAGCTTCTCCAGTCATTATTTTTTCATTCTTTTTTTTTTTGTTTTGTTTGTCTCGGCCATGTAAAGCGTCTTTGGGTATCTTGAAAAGCGCTATAGAAAATTGATATATTATTATTATTATTATTATTACCTCAAGAATTGACTCTGGGCCTCATTATTTTCTCTTTAACATGCCTCTTCTTGTTCACATAATTAGTAGATCTTATAAATCTTTTCATTTCTATGCAGATGATACACAGTTATATCCTCATGTCAACTCTACTGATAATAGCAGTTTGGTTGCCCTAAAGAATTGCTTTGAGGATATTCTGCTGATTGGTTGAAGTTGGCCGATGATGGTTCATTAAATCACCTGCTACTGTTATTTTGAAAGTGCCTGCCCTTTTCCAAACAGTTTCCATTAACTGTTTATCAGATGGTTCTGTGTAACAAACCATCTGGTGTGTTAAAAACAGCCTCTGCCAGAAACTTTTGATGTGTACTCATCTATTAATGCTGATTGAGTGTTTTCCTTCAATTATTGTCAAATAACGAAGCACTCAAGAAAGTCACAAAAATGCATGGTCCTTACTTATTTTCCCCCGTCAGTGGCTTCTCTGGATTTTTAGGATCAAGGTCAACCTCTGTGCCATCCCAGTTGATCTGTTGATCAGTTATCAGAAAGAAGAAGATAGTGATGTCACTGCTTTGAGAAATGATGATAGATTTGAGAAAGAGGAGGAATGACATATGTTATTGACTCTCTGTAAAACACATACTACAAAGTCCATGTAGAGGTTTTTTATGACATCATCTTCATAGACTTCCAGGATGTTCAGCAGACTCCTAGAAGCAAAATAAAAGAGATCATACATAAGATATCAAAAAAGGGTTTTCAGTATGTTTTGACCAGACGTCAGCAACTGTAACCAAACATTTGTGATTAAAATATATATTAATTTCCTCTTACTCTCCAACGCATGGGCTGAATTCGATCATGTCCCCCAATGAGGGCTTTACACCCAGCAGCTTTTTGAACAGAGCCAGCGGGAAGGGTAAGTGTATGATGTACTGGTTGTACAAAGCCAATCCGCACAGAACCCCAAACTGGAAGTATCTCTGGTCCTCCTCTGTTGCCTGGTGTTGATGGAAGACAAAACTTATATCAGAAAACTAGAAACAAAATAGGATGATAATAATTTAAGATCTGAATTGAATATTTGTTTTTCCTGTATGAAGATGTAAAGTCTTACCGTGGAGGGGAACCATGCCAGTGTTTTGGAGTCGTTGAACATGAACATCCCAGATTCAGCTGACATCATCTCATGAAACACTTCGTGAAAAAAGTCTTTTCTGTAGAGATACTGATCATCTACGTTTGTGAAGTTTTCATCAAAATAAACCTGGAGGACAAAATGGCACAAACTAAGTTTTCCTCCTGATACAGTAACTTATACAAGAGTACCTATACAACAATGCAAGATTCAAAGTGGGACTTGTGGCTATCAGATCAAAACTACATGTTTACCGCAAGTGGTAACTTGTATTCATTGGGATCAGCGGGATCAGTGGGATCAGCAGCAGCAGAAACAGCAGCAAGTTGTTTAAAGGTGTCTTCCAAAACCGATGCTCGCCTCAGGTCTAGTTCAAAGAGCAGGTCTTGAGGCAGTGGCAGAGCCCATTGCCATTCCCAAAATGGTTTCCAGTAAATCATGCAATTCATTTCTTTCACCTGGAATACAGTTCAAGATTTCATTATTATACCATTTTTGTTGTGTGACTGTCAGCTAACCTCGGTGTTTCTCACACAGAGAACATGTATTTTATCATACTGCAATGGCACACACAACAGATTTCCTGACCCTGACGGTATTGCGTGTAAAAGCTAGTTCTCATTAGGCATGTTTAAGGCTTCAGTTACCTTGGTGTACCTAGCATTCAGGTCAAAAACAAATTTCTTTGACCCCAGATCCATCAGAATTGGAAAGCTACACAGGATAAGAGGCTCAGCATCCATATACTGGAAAAAAGGGAGGGGGTGGGCAAGATCACAGATCATCAAATGTGTGTAAAAATACATGTTTTTTTTCTGAATGTCTGAAAAGTGACAGAAACAAAGGGAGACAGAAGGAGGGACAGCATCATGGCTTTACTTCACAAACTATTTAACCATGTGTTCTGTTTACCTTGAGTTGTGACCGTAAAATCCAAAGCTGCAGATCCATAATGAGAAAGTTTTTGTCAATCAACAAACAGAAGTCGGTTTCTGGCATCCTTTTAGGTTCTGCAGTCCTGCTGTTGACCTTTTAAACAAGTGTTTATTAGGGGAACAGTTTAGCAAATAAAAAAGTGTATAGGATTATGCTGTGACGTTCATAGAAAACACGGCCGATAAGTGATACTAACGTTGTACATGTACTGGAGGACTAGCAGCAGGTTTCTGACTCCAGAGTTGAGAGAAACAGGCTTTAAGGACAGGATCACTGAGAGGGCCTGCTTCCACACATTAACATGTTCAACCATGGTGGAGGGCGGCAGTGAGGACCACCAGTCCCCTGAGGAAGACAACATGGAGATTTGCAGACATTAACGGCAGTGAGCATTTAACAGCTGAGCAGATGTCAAAGCTTTATCTTAAAGCAGTGTTAAAGCAACGTTGACCATTTTTACTGCCATTTCTACATCACCTTGTATTATCTTGAATCGGTGAACCAGCCATTTCAAAGAGATATACGTTTGATAAATCACAACTTAGTTTCATGCATGTGTTATTGAAAACATATACGCATCAACTATTTCATAAATGAGACAAAATATATGTATTCAGGTGGAATTAACAGGCTTTCCTTTTTTTTCCTCTCATCAGAAAAACAAACAGAACATACACTAGGTGGTCTGAATCCAGCACGGGAATGGCTGATGCCAAACAAATTGAATGGAAACTCAAGGATTTTAACTTTAATGTGTTATCATGAACAGAATTTTGCTGATGTGACATGTGCGGTGGCAACAGTACCTATGACCTGGAGACTGTCAGCTGACAAGTTTAGGACGGCAGCAGCAACCGCCTCAGCGAGAGTTGTGCTCGTTCGACGCTGTTCGTGGCTCTGGATCACATGCAGGAGCTCATTGAGAAGCAGATAGATCCTCAGCCCCTCCACCCCCAATGGCTTCTTCTCAAGGGAAGGAAGCAAGAGCAGGACAGCAGCCTCGACCTGATTTGGTAAAAAAAAATTAAATGCCTCAGACAAGTTAGCAGACATATTATGAACGTGTTTTGAGAGTAATTACTAACTAACTTTGAAACCGTTCGTGCATATTACACACATTGTAGTTACATACCTCGGCAAAAACCTTGTCCTTCTTCACCAGTTTCTCAAAAGCGAGTCGTGCAACTGACAAGTTCAAGCCCGAGTACCTTGGTGAAGTCTGGAAATGTTTGTCTTTGCTAAAAACATAAAGAAAAAAAATGAAAAAGATAAGCTCACAACATAGGCACATAGGCTACTCAGGCACAGTGGTGTTCGGTCATAAACCAATATTGGACAAACTGAAAGTTCGAGCTGATGATGGCGCAAACAAGAGGTCACCAACGTCATTGACATTTATCACGTGTGAAGAAGTGTAATGCACAGCGATACTGTGTTCACCTTTGCTCAAGGAAGCTTGTATTCAGACAGGATGCAGAGGAGAACGTTCTGCAGATTTCCCTGTGAAGATTTAACATTTTCAGTCCGTTGCACTAAGAGAACTGTGTTAAAAGCTTTGGAACCAAATGATTAATTTAAGTCGTGATTAATTTAAGTCATGACTTAAATGAATCATAAAACATCCGATCGCTCGACAAAGTAGAAACATATTGAAAATATATCGCCGATGCAATTTACTTACCGTTTGATCTTTTTCCATTGCTTTGAATCACATTCGGAGGTCCATTTGTCAATCATGTCATCGAGACAATGCTGTGTTTTGTTGTTGACGCCGCCGGCGTTCGCCTCCTCGCCAACGTCCTGCTAAATAAATAGGGTTGAGTTGATGTTTCACATCATTATGATGCCGACCATCACGGTCTGTGCTGTACGTATTTAAGTAGTTACCTCAATAGACGCGCACGTTGCAAATGAACAGTTTCCTCCTGCGAAGATGTTTCTAATTCGAGCATCATCCGTGTCTGGAATAAAAACAGAATTAAAGTGTAATCCCTTCCGTGACACCATTCCTTGCATTCAACATTATTTCATTCAGTTATTTTAGAAAGGTAGTCACCCTGTGGCAGTTGAACCGGTAGCACCACGGACGGATGACTGTCTTTTCCGTGTCCCAGCTGCCCCTGCTCTCCACACCCGAAGGAGTAGACCCTCTTTGAGTCCGTCAACGCTAATGTGTGATGCCTGAGTAGGTGTTATATATATTACCAACATTTTAACGTTGTCACAGGTGTGAATATACTTTGATTGGCTACATTTTTAAGTATAGTTTTCATTGGAGCAGCTTAACGCAGGTCTTGTAATCTTTGACAAAGTGAAATTCTCAGAATAATTGCAATAGAAAAGGTGATTTGCTGTACCGTCCACAAGCAATCTCGGTGACCTGTGCCCCCCAGAGCTCTGCAACAAGCCGAGGTCGTAGTTCATCGCCGAATGAGTTGTGCCCGAGCTGTCCATATTGACCAGAGCCAAATGTGAACACTGCACCATTCTGAGGAAGCAACCACACAAAACCATGGTTATGTCTGTGAAAATCTAAGAAGTCAGTGTATGGCTTATTTTCTCTATAAGTTACGAAATGTAATATATATTTTTTTTTTTTTCTATAAAACCCAGAGAAAAATCTATAATATTTTAAATTTAAGCTGTAATAATAAATATTTTATAATAACCATGGATCCATGAAAATACAAGTCTGCATTTCCTCTCAGCTCTGTGGAGCATTTTAAAGTCTTCCGAATCATTTTTTGGAGGGTTTCTGTAAAGTTACTGTGTTGGTTCAGTGCTCTCATTAGCATTGTTTTTGGCTGAAGCAGGTTGCTGTTTTTAGGGAAACATCTCTATATGGATATTGATATGTTTGATATGTATGTATCTGTTTGCGAACACTTTCGCCATATCAAGTTAAATGGTTACAATATGTTGGCAGGCCCCCGGATTAGCCAAACAATCTGTTACGTGTGCGCATGTCAATGTACCGAAAATATTATATATGTAAAATTGATGTCAAGACTTGTGGACACAAAAATACATATTCTGATCAGGAAAAGGAAGGTTTGACAATCTACTGCTGCATTAGAGCGTCAAAAGCCAAAGGTGTCCGGCTACATTGTCGCAGTTAAAGTCTTGCTCAAGCGCTAGATGATGTAGTTATGTCAATAAATTGCACTGGGAACTGGCTAAAAGCATTTTTTTTTGGAGCGCTGAAAAGAGTTGAGACCAGTTGACTTCCTACATTGTTGCAAAAATTTGGTATTTTACATTACACACTAATATTTTCACCACAAGGGCCTTTAAAATAATGCATCCTTGGGTTCACAGAAACGTTTAAAACCTATTCCATCATTCCATGTGTATATGGGTTTTATGTGGAGAGTTAAATTAGAATTATTGTACTTATGTCTGTTGCCCAGGGAAAAAATTTTCTTTTTCCAGCAATAAAATGTGTGCGGTTAGTGGTTACAACCAGGCGGAGAAGTGCAATGCAGAAGTGTCTTAAACTTGCATTCTCTCTAATGGCCAGCAGGGGGCGACTCCTCTGGTTGCAAAAACAAGTCTGATTGTATAGAAGTCTATGAGAAAATGACTCTACTTCTCTCTTGATTTATTACCTCAGTAAACATTGTAAACATGAGTTTATGGTCTCAATCTCTAGTTTCAAGTCTTCTTCAGTACAGCATGATGTTCATTTAGGAAATGATGGTCCATTTAGAGTCAAATAGACCATGAAGAAAAGAGAATGCTTTAGGGCGGGGCTACCATGCGATTGACAGGTCGCTACCAGTCGCTACTGTCCGGTCTGGTAGTTGTCCGTGTTTAGAAATGTAACCCTTTACAGTGTGTTTTCAGTTCATCAAAGTTAAATGCAACATTTCGGTCGCATAAAAATGTTTTTGTTCAGCATTGGGTTGTACTTTGCTCCACCCTCTCGTGTCAATTTTGGTCGCAAAAACCGACCAAAGACCAAGATGGCAACAGCAAAAAAACAAAAACAAGATGGCTACAGTCAAAATGCTTCAAGGCTTCAAATCGACAGTCAACAAACCAATGGGTGATGTCACACTGACTACGTTTACTTCTTACATACAGTCTACGGATACAACATCTTACAATACGACACATTTAAAATTGTGAGAAGTAACTAAGGAACGAGTGGGGAAAGAGTAGAAGTCCAACCTTTGTCAGAATGGCAGTGTGGTCCTTTCCGCAGGAAATGTGAATAGTTGTCTTCATGTTCAGACAATGAACAGGAGTTGGCGCGTGTCTGTCTACAGAACAGAAATTAACATTCAAGTTTGCATGTCGTGGAAATTGTGTACATGAGATTGTTATCGCTTGTGAAATTCATCCTTAAAGGAATGTTAAAAATAGACGAGGTGAATTCAAATTCAAGTGAAGCAGATAGAAATCTAACTTGTTGCTGCAGTACCTGTTGTGTCTCCCAGCCCGAGCTGCCCGCGGTCGTTTCCGCCCCAGCCGAACACGCCTCCGGAGACCGAGAGGCCGAAGCTCTGCTCTCCCCCTGCAGCCACCTGGACCAGGGGGAGTGCTGACAGAGATCGGATGTGTTGGGGGGAGCCGGCGCCGGGCTCGCTCCTCCCCTGACCCAGCTGGCCCCTGGAGTCCCGGCCCCATGTATACACCTGACCACCTGTGGAGAAATCACCAAGATTTGTATTTCTTTTCTTAAGACTGTACAGCGCCAACGAGCTACTCCCGTGGTAGTAATGAGGAACTCGTTACTTATTAACTTATGATTAAACTCTTAAAAGGGTCCGTCCGCCCAAATCACACACAAAAACACATTTTAAACGTCAAAAAAGTTTCCTTTTTAAATTGGAAAAAGAGAATCACACACACAAGCATAATATAGCGGCATCTCTTTCCAAAAACAATACTCATTTAATTCTGGTAAGAATTCAACACAGAGAATTGTTTCCGTTTTTTTGGGGTGGAGGCAGAAAGCTCAGAGCCGTGTCACATAAAACCATACCTTGCATGGCTGGATACCAGAAGTACTATGTATTCAGCTTGTACATTAGTAGCAGTTTACTGTACACTTCACTGTACCTTTGGTGAGGGCCACTGAGTGCTGGCTCCCACAAGCAACCTGAGACACCTGTATGTTGCACAAAGCTTCCAGGGGCCTGAGAGGACAGGAGATGGAAAAAAAAAACAGACATCACCATGAATCAGAGATGTTATAAGACAATTTTTGCCCCATTTTACACATTTTCTTTCATATTCATTAACACCAAAACCCTTGCTTCTCCTTACTTTAGATTGTAAGCACTGGTCATGTCCACACAGAGAACTTTTCCCCCCTCGGACAGCAGTGTGACCACATCATCATCATCATGACAACCCACGGCCTGAATCTTCTCTTTACACTTCACAAACTCTAAACAGAACACAGCAGGTGTAAAGAGATGGTTGTACGTCATCATCATTACAGCAAAATGAAAAACAATTGCATGAGTTTGCAAAGTAAAAGGTTGATTTCTTTTTTATAAATAAATATACACATTTTTTTGTTTTTACTGCAAAATGAGAAAACATTTCCACGTGTTTGCAAAGTAAGAGTTAGATTAAAAAAAATAAATGAATACACCATTATAATTTTAAATAAATAAACACCGGCAGTAACAACATGATGCTCACTCTGCTTCCCTCTGACTCTTCTCCCGTCTTTGCTTTCGCTCCTGCGAATAACGAACGCATTTCCGTTTGTTTTGACGAAAGCCAGCGCGCTGCGGCCCGCGGAGAGATCGGCGATGTGATAACCGAGGTTTAAACGATGACCCCCGACGTCCGTTGGCGGCCCGCTGTCGCTATTCACGCCTCCCTTTAGCCGAAAGCCCCGGTGACCGTCCTCTCCCCATGAAAACATGCTGTCGCAGTGTCGACCAACGTCTGCTTCACGGGACTCTGAATCGAAACTTACAGCGGACACAAAACTGTGGCGCAAGCGGCGGAAAACAAAACCTAAACATGGTGAACAAACTGCGTGAAACGAAACGCGAGCTGACACTACGAGTCACGTGATTTGTTACCTTTAAATGAAGACAAAAACAAAGGTGAAACAGCGAATGTCTGTTTGAGCTGGTATTTGTCGTATACCGTCATATTTAATCGGTTATTTATGACTTTTAATGGCCTTTTTTTTGTGTGCCACTGCAGTAGAATTGTAAGTGCATACGGTTGAATGTAGTACATGTTGGTATGTTGGTGAAAAGGAAGTGACGATCGTCTTCGTTTCATATGCAGAAGTTGAATTAACTGGATAACTTTAATATCAACCTGATGCACTTAAGATGCCTGTTTATTGTGAAAGACAACACGTGTCATGATTGAAATGATTGTCTTAACTAAATTAAAAAAAATAGAATAAACAGACCTGACGGGTCCGTGCACTAAGTATGATTCATTTTCCATTGTTCACGTTGTATAATGAACAATGTCAGTTTTGGAGCATTATGTCATTGGTCTACTTGTGTTGATGTAAATGTTTTCTGCTACATGTGAGTTTGTTGTTTGACAGGCGATGCTGCCTAAACGCGGTTAACGCTTTGTCTGAGTTATTGTCGCGTTGAATGAACACGTGCAATGCAATTCAGCACCAAAACATCAGCTTGTTACAATACACAACTTTAATAATGACAATTGAGTCAAGGAAGTCGAGAGTCGGAAACTGAGACAGCTCGCCTTCAAAGTAAAAGTTGCGCGTTTTCAAACGTGTTTGCGCCAGCGATCAATTTATGGAGAGCTAAAGAAACAAACAAATGTTATAAATAATGAACATAATATATAACTGTCATCAAGTCATATTTCTTCCTTTCCCACAGTTGAACGTGAATAAACGGACAATTGGTGCAAACATTCAATTATTTGTATGTAATGATTCATTATATATCAATTTATTTATTTAATTAAGGCTTCTTAAAGTATTTGGGTGAATGTTTCAGGCTGTAGTGTTGAGACTTGTGATGAGTCTGAGTAGATTTACCCTGAATTGTGACTTTATAGCTGGCTCTGTTGTCATGACAGTAATGCCACTAAGCTATCCCATGTAAAATCCTTCAGGTTTATTTACTGTTTGCACAAACATACTTCCAAAGATAGTGCCAACCAGGGGCGTCGTTAGGCCTATTTTAGGGGGCTGAAGTCCCCTAAAATGTTCTTCAGCCCCCCCAAATAATTTGGCATTATTTTTATTATTATATTTTTTATTTTGGTGATGTCATTAAATTAAACTATTGTTTCTCACATGGACAAGTTATTTATAACTCTAACATGCTACATATGTGCGTGCGTTCTGGTTTGTATGTTTTCTCCCCCTTCAAATTACAATCCATCATCATACTTAACGATATAAAGTTGACACTGTCAGGTCCATTCTCCATCCATTGTGTGCGGTCCCTTTAAGAACTAGGATTTGGGAGTGACGCGGATATGAAAGCTAGTTTATCCGTCTTTCCTTTACAAGCAGGAAAATTATTTCTCTCTTTATTTGAGAAAAGTTCATATTTGTGTTGTCAAATTTCACTATGACCCTGAAATTCTGTCTCTTGTGTTATCATATACTGAATGCAAGCAAAACTACAGAGCAAAATCACACCCTTCCTGATTGAACCAATCTATAAACGGTCTGAAACAATGGATATCCACGGCCCCAAATGGGCCCCAAAAAAAATTGCCACGCGCAAACATTACACTCCCCTTGGGGCTAAGCCCCCCCTTTCTTTGAATCCTAGAAACGCCCCTGGTGCCAACCCATACTTAAATAATATTTTCAATGCAGCAGTCTGCAACAGGGTGACATGTTTCTCCTCAAAACACGGGTCTGTATTACAATACTTATTAACAATAGTGATAACACTCAAAACATACTTTTACTCTTCAAAATGCTGAACTTTTGAGAAATTACAGAGGTTTTCTACCTGTGTCTGCTGCCCATTGGCATCATGGTAACATGGATATCAGGCGAGCCAATTCAATTCAATTTATTTTCTATAGCCCAAAATCACAAATTTGCCTCAGAGGGCATTATAATCTGTACACATGCGACATCCTCTGTCCCAGGACCCTCACATCGGAACAGGAAAAACCAGCTCCTTCTAAAAACTCTATTTCAGACTTTTGTCATCTATTATTAAATAGTACTAATCATTATTATTGCAGCTTCCTTGTTAAATTACATTTGCTTTAATCAGTGTAGGCTACACAGAGACACTGCACACATGAAAAGCAAAATTAAGTTGTTCAATAACTTTATGAGAGAAAAATGATAACTGCTGGTTCTATGACCTCAGTCCTCAAGTGCATGTGTCAGAGCTTGTCAAAGCACAACAAGTGTCATGTCAGTTAATAAAGAGGTTCTATATATGCGTATATATACGTATATATATATATATATATATATATATATATAT